CGGATTTGGGGTGGGAGGAGAGAGGAGAGAGGGAATGTGAAGAGAGAGAAACAAGAGGGTACAATCAGTTTGCTAGCTACCAAGGTCCAGTCGTTATTTATTCGTCCTCACTTTCTCCACGCGAAGTAACACGTCGGACGCAAGGCCGAGGGAAACGCCAGAAATAATCTGCAGACTGCAAGCACTCGTTCCCTCTCGTGAAGCTCACTCAAGTTTGTCCCGCCATATGACGAGGGAGCGTGGGGCAGAAAGACTGGAGCAGTTTCGGGGTAGCTCCGAGTCAGGTGGTGTCGGTGTAGTACGACCCCGAGGCCATCCTAATCCTGACGCTTCTTCAACTTCTCAGAGAGTGTGTGAGAGAGAATCTTGTCTTCCTAGAATCCCAGCAACTCCTAGCAACTCCGCACCACGAGGACGCAAGAGGGATAGTCTCCCCCAGCCCCGTGTGGTTCTGATTGGGTCCGGGGAAGTCGGGGCCGGCCCCGCACCTCCATCCGGATACAAGCCGGTCTAAGTTGATGCAACGTCTGACAACCCTGCCAGCCATTTCCACCCTTTCATCTGCTCTCCCCATGGGCCCCATCTCTTGGATGGACGGAAAGTTGTTGTGTGTCTGTTACCCCGGATTGACATTGTCTAGACCCCAGCTAACGTTGACTGAAAATTGCAAGCGCGCCCGTGGTGTTGGCTCATGGCTGATGGTCCGTCGTGTCACCCCAGGTTCTTTCGTATTTTCTGCCTCCTGGGACCTTCGTTTGGGTGGTATGATGGCCCGAATGCGGGGAGAAGATTTTGTCTTCTGACGGGCTGCAGAGAAGCCTGAGAGTCTGCAGCCAGAACATTTAAGACGGCCGTGTTATCGCCCTCCATTCTTTCGTCTCCATCGATGATACCTTTCCAAGGCTTCCAAGACCTCCATCTCTCCACCGTTCCACTGTTCCTGAATTCTTGGTCCACCCCTCCCGAGCTGTATTGCTTGTCTGCAGTCCATCCTCCACCATGTCCGACGAGAAGACCGATCCCACGGTCGAGGGCCATGCTGAGGAGCGCCGTGATGATGCCGCCGCCGAGATCGACACTGCCGTCCACATTGCCCATCAGACGCAGTCTGGCGCTTATTCTCCCTGGACGCCGCACATGTTTCGACTCTACGCCGTCCTCTTCATTGGTTTGTGACTTGGTGTTTCTTATTAGTATTGGTCTACTAACAACAATTTCGCCAGCTTACCTTAATGGAGCTCTCAACGGTTACGATGGTTCCCTCGTAAGTAAACCCTAAATCTGAGCATCATCATCATCACCATCTAACGAAGCACCTTTGAAGATGGGAGGTTTGAACGGATTAAAGTCCTACTTGAACTACTTCCACAAGTGAGTAAATCAAGGAGCCAAACTCACTTAGCATTTGATGACAAAACTGACGCCAATCTGGCAGGGAAACTGTTGACGAGAGCACCGGAATCATCTTCGCCATGTACAACATTGGAAGTGTCGCCGCCGTTTTCTTCACCGGACCTGCAAACGACTTTCTCGGTCGCCGATGGGGCATGTTTATCGGGGCTGCCATTGTCATCATCGGCACTTGTGTCCAGGCCACGACCAAAACGTACAAAGACCTCTTCAATTCGATGGTCGCATACTGGTGCTAATGATTCGCAGTTCTGGCCAGTTCCTTGCCGGACGATTCGTTCTCGGATTTGGTGTCAGTTTCTGCTGCGTCTCTGCTCCGACCTACGTAAGTTTGATGAATTGCATTCTCTTTAGTGGGACATGTCAACTAACATGCCGTGTGTTAAGGTCTCTGAGATGGCACACCCAGCATGGCGAGGAACCATCACTGGCGTCTACAACTGCACTTGGTACATTGGTATGTCTACCCTATTCGCTTGCACATCCTCTTACTCCAGGTCTAATCACTACACACAGGCTCAATCATAGCTTCCTGGGTTATCTATGGATGCGCCTACATCGATGGCGGCGAGGGCACCAGTGCTTGGCGCCTGCCCATTTGGCTTCAGATGTGAGTCTCTTCGGCGAATCATCTTCTTCGCGTGATTCATTTCCAGGCACTGATATATTTATCTACAGGGTTACCTCTGGCATCGTTTGCGTTGGAGTCTTCTTCATCCCCGAATCTCCGCGGTGGCTCATGGCGAACGACAAGCACGAAGAAGCCGCAAGAGTCCTTGCCAAGTACCATGGCGAGGGCTCCATCGACCACCCCATTGTTCAGCTTCAACTGAAGGAGATGGTCTCTCAAATCAGCACAGACGCATCGGATAAGTCCTGGTATGATTATAGTGAACTCTGGAGCACCCACTCCGCCCGTCGCCGCCTCATCTGCGTGTTGGGCATGGCGTTCTTTGGCCAGATCAGTGGTAACAGCTTGAGTTCTTACTACTTGGTAATTTCAAGCTCCCTCCCCTTCCATAACTTCTACATGGCTAACATCACGATGCTAGACCGTTGTATTGAAGAACGCCGGCATCACAGACGAGAAACGTGTTTTGGCATTGAATGCGATCAACCCCATTCTGTGCTTTTTCGCATCTCTCGTCGGAGCTCGTATGACGGATGTTGTCGGTCGCCGACCCCTGCTGATTTACTCCATCATCTTCTGCTCGTTCTGCTTCGCAATCATCACTGGAACCTCGAAATTGGCAACGGATGATGCTAGCAACGTCGCTGCGGCCAATACCACCATCGCCTTCATCTACATCTTTGGAATTGTCTTCAGCTTCGGCTGGACTCCTCTTCAGAGCATGTACATTGCTGAGACTCTCAGCACATCGACCCGCGCCAAGGGTACTGCCGTCGGTAACTTTGCCAGTGCCGTCGGAAGCACCGTTATCCAGTACGCTAGTGGACCGGCTTTCCTCAACATCAAGTATTACTTCTATATTGTCTTCATCTTCTGGGACCTCTTTGAAGCAGTCATCATTGTAAGTGTTGCATTATTCTTAAGCCGACTGTTGCCTGAACTCCGCTAATGAAGTACTAGTACTTCTACTGGCCCGAAACCAAGGATCGCACGCTTGAGGAGTTGGAGGAGGTCTTCAGCGCCCCGAACCCTGTCAAGAAGAGCTTGGAGCCTCGGTCGGCCGAGACTGTCTTGAAGACTATGCAGGTCGGACAGGATGAGAAGGCGGCGTATGTCTAGTAAGGTAGATATCTGTACCGGGCCGGGCTTGGGCGGCATTTGTGGGGCGATACCGGTCCGGACGCCGGGCCTAGCGCTAGGATTCTCCTGCATTTGCCGTCTATCTCGCTGTCTAAAGACTTAAATCAAGATGGGTTCTGATAAACGTTCTGATGATCTGCAGTGCAAGTATTCCATAATGTGTAAAGGGCAACATCGAAATCAGTATCCATAGAGACAGTCAAGCCATCAGTGTCTGTTGATGGTACGAAAAAGGCGTCCTTCGCTATGATTGGGGCGGCACGGTTCGTACTAGGAAAATGGGCTAACGGCCCCATGTTCTATGAACATAGACACATCAGGCGAACCCAACCAACAGTCTTACTTAGTGTTCGTACCGCGGTCGCGTCTGAAGGAATGGAGAGAAAGCTTAATCACCTATTGCATCCCTACAGAAACTGGCAAAGCGGCACAATTTAGAAGGAGACAAGAGTCACCTGTCACATCATCACATGTGCCTCCCTCCAACTCATAAGAGAGGAATGCCATGATGGGACATATGCCCGTCCTTGTTCCAAGCGATGGTGATATCCCCCGCTTGGGACCTTGTGGGTTCCCCTCATAGACGTGCCGGGGCTGCACGGAGCGAAACCACGGGAAGCCATAGAGATCCTAGACTGAGTCCAATTTGCACCCGGCATCCCACCATCCCATGATCCCACAAGCTTTTCCCCTTCCTAGCCAAGCCCCCCCGTTTACGTTTCTCCAAATTCTTCCTAATGAACTCACCCCCTTCTCCACATCTTCGTCCTTCCCCCGCACTACACGTGGGTGCATATATGCATGTCCTGCTGCCGGGATTCTTCCTTTGACCCCCTTGTGCCGTCCATTCTTTTTTTTTTCTCCAGTCCACTGCCCCCCCAAACTCTGCTCCGACTCGGTCCGCTTCGGATCGAGGATCCCCTTCACTGCGGAACCAGGCTTTTTGCTGTTGCGGACGCTGTGTTGCTACGCCATGCCACCCAGCAGTTGCGATGGAGCCACTGGATAATGACACGATCAATGAGCCGTCGAGGAAGAGGTTGAGGACAAGCCATGCGGTATGTAAATTGCATTTTTTTTTTTAGAATCCTTGAAGCAAAACAGTTTACCTCTTTTGTAAGTATCGTATCGGGGCAGAACAATGTGACAACTCGTGTCTAAAATTCCACTGTCACATTGAACCGTCAAAAGAGTTCTTGACGAACACTGCTACTACCAAAAACACTGCGCGCTTAACTGCTTTCGTTGCACCATTGCGAAGATCTTCCCTCATTTCAGAGCACCATTTCTCTGAGCTTAAACTCTTCTCTCCCCGCATGTTCTGTGCGGCTATCCAGCCGAGAATCCGAAAAGCTCATCACTGACAACGCATCGCATACTTCAGTGCGACACATGCCGCGCAAGGAAGATCAGGTACGTGGTCCAAGACAACTCGGCCAAGCAACCCAGGTCCAGGCCGAACCAGTCTCTCGGGACAAGCATCAAGATTAACGAGACCTCACTGCACAGATGCAATGGCAACACGCCATGCGCATCCTGCTCTGCGTCGCATCAGGAATGCACCTATGGGTCCGAAGCTAATTCGTAAGTTAAAGAGTCCGGCCCTCAAAAGAACCACACTCATTTCCTCACGCCCCCCGGAGCCGTGATCCCCGGCGCAAAACACCGACTTCCGGACGCTCGGGGGAGCCTGGGGAGAGAAAGAGGAAAACTTGCTTTCTTGCTGTGAGTCTAAAATTCTGACCATCACGTCATTAGGCGCGGGAAGAGCGACCTCATCCTGGAGGGTGTACTCCGGGTGGAGAAGTTTCTTCATGAGATGAAGGCCACCATCGTCAGTCCCGCCTCCTCCACATTCCACTTTTCACCGAACCCATCTCACGATGGTGTGTTCAAGGGGACGGCGCCGTATGCCGATCACCGTCCGTCCGTGGTGTCTCCGGCCCTCCGATCCGCCTCGCGGGGGTCCTTTTCCGGGTCGCCTCTGAACGAGATCCATCACCCACAACGGACCCCCATCTCGGAGCCGCAGTATCAGAACAACTTTGAGAATGCCGTGCTCGACTCCATGCACACGAGCACCACAGAATCTGTGCTACAATGGCCTCATTTTGACGCCTTTCCGAATATGAGGGATGGATATGTCCCCATCTTCCACCTCGAACAGTCACGGCCCGCGGTGAAGACGCGCGCGACACCCGTGTATCCCTATGTAACCGCAGAGGACATTGACGAGATCATCGAGTCGTTTGAGCACACCATCAACTTTTGGTATCCGACCATGTCTCGCGGCCAGCTTGAGCAAGTTCGCAACCTGATCGCCGATGGCATTCCCGAGGGAGACAGCATTCTTGTCTGTCTTGCGCTGCTAACAATGGCGCTGGGGTGTGTCGGCTTAGTGACTACGGGCCTGGCGAGCACGTCTTCGTTGAGTGAGGAGGATCGTAAACGGAGGGCTTCCAAGAGGGCCATGGGTGACATGTACTTTGACAGTGTCTTGAAGAAGCTGCATGTGGTGCATACCAATGTTGGAAGCACTGCAACCCACTGCCTGTTCTTCACAGCGTGAGTATAGAGCCTTATGTTTCACTACAAAAAGTCACTAACCTAAACTTCAGGATGTACTTTGCATTTCTCCGTCGGCCTTTGCAAGCATGGGAATACATCAACGCAGCATCCGCAAAATGCCTCTTGCTTCTGTCGTATCCGCCAGAGTCCGAGTCCGCGGAAGACCAAGAACGAATCCGAAGGATCTTTTGGTCGTGCTACATTCTCGAGAGGTACCAGCCGTAACTGAAAACGTTGCCGGGCCTGCAGCTAACAAATTTCAAGTGACTATCTTGCAGAGCTCTCTGGGCTCCCGCAGTCGGGCGTCGCTCGCATCGAGTCAACAACACCTCTTCCAGGAGAATACAGCACACATAAAGACTCCCAAGTCGAGGAGCAATCCTCCCTCTACTTCCTCGCCTGCATTTCCATGCGCCGCCTTCTCAATCGCGTCCATCAGCTCCTCTACGCACGCGGAACCGGCGCGGCCCTCGACCACGCCCGTTTCCCCTATGTCGTCGCGGAGCTGAACCACCAGCTCGACGACTGGCGAGAAGTGCTTCCTCCGGCGTTTGCATTCAGCGTTGGATTCAATGAAGTAGGAAACAGCCAAAGTACCGCGACGGAGCACGGGGGCTTCCTGCGGCAGAGGTATCTCACCTGCCGGAGTGTGATTTACAGGCCGTACCTGATGTGGATGCTGAGTGGCATGGCTGGCGGGAATGGGGCCAGCTCCGAGCTGCTGGTCAACCAAGATGCGCTGAAGAATTGCAAGGCGTGTCTGGATGCCTGCCTGCTCCATATCCTCAACTTGAGGGGCTTTGGACAGACAGTCATGGTCGACACGTGGATCTGCTCTCTCTCGTAAGTTATGACTCGTGACCGTTCTACTCTGAGAGATGATGGCTAATGTAGGGGCTACAGTATGGCTGGTGCAATGCTTGTTCTACTCGCTGCGTGTCGTATCCCGGCATTGAAAGACATGATTGGGCCGGAAGTTCTGGGAGCTGGCGACCATTTGAAGCAGCTACTGCAAGGCTGGCAGAGTACCATGGGCGAGCCTACTTCTCCGAGCGTAAACCAGGCGATCCGGATCATCAGTGATGTGGACCGCTTCATCAAGGAGGTCTATAGGGCTGGTGATTCCTATTCCATGAGGCGGCATCCATAGCTCAAGTGAGGAGAGGTTGGTAGCAGAGCAAGTCATGTCAAAGTAAATATTCATTGTCTGGTACATACAGAGTGGGGTATGAAAATCGGGCAGTATACAAAACTAAGTAAATCATGCAAGCATGCTGCAGCATCGTCTGCCAAGCTTGGTATGGCGCTTTTCGATCCTAGAAAATGGGCTCAAGTTCCCCCGAACTTGCGGATCTTCGTCCCTAATCTTTGCCAATGAACGACTCGATCCATGCAAATCAATCCTATGCTCATTGCTGCAGCCCACCCTTGAGGCTGTAAACATGGTGCGCGCTCCCTCGTCAATCGTTGCGCGCTCAAAGATCAACCTTGACTGCAACAACACTGCCAGCCATGAAGCCAGTGACAAAAAGCCATGCCTTTCTTTCCCCTTTCTCTTGAGCCGGATCGATAGCGACCAAGACAGCCGCCGCCGCCGACCTGGCTCTCGTTCCATCGTCCTCGAACATTAACCTCTTCTCATAGCCGCCGTTGCTGCCCGCAGCTGGCTTGACGTACCATACCATCGACCCAATGTCCGACGTGGTATTGTGAACTTGCTTCGGGACATCGATAGGACGCGAAAGACCGGGGAGCACGAAACCGCTAGCATCGAAGACGTCAGTCTTGTATGGGTCGTCAAAATAGCTGGGGTTATCGATATATGAGTCCACCTGGACGGACTCGATGATGTTGACGGTGGTTTTCTTCAGGTCTGAAGACAGCTCGCCGATGAGCATTTCGCCGCCGGCACAGTTGCCGACCAAGATTTCTCCGGCTTCCCGACCGTGACCTAGGCCGTTGTTGTTGCGGATCCCCGAGAGAGCTACCTCAGCCTTGATGCCTTCTGTAGGGACCAAGGAAGACATCTCCTCGATGTGAACGTAGATGGTGTCGGTCCAGGTTGTGCCCGGCCATATATCCTCGACATGTCTTCCGACACCATCAGGGTAGTAATGATCGTTGGTCACATAGAAGGAGTACGGGTCTTTGATGAAAACGTCGTTGGGCGTCTTGATCAGCGGGTGGATGACGGTTCGCAGGTGCTTGGCGGTGGATGATCCGAGGATGTGGTGAAAGATTTCAACGCGCGATTGAGACTTTTGGGTGATTTTCTGAGAGTCCTGCCCTCCAAGCTTGGTTGCTAGGTAGTCTGGGTGTGGTACATGGTTGACGGCGAAGATGTAGACTGCATCGGCCCTCTTGGGGTCTGTAATGACATCGATGCCATGGGTAACATAGGTCGAGTCAAAATTCTCAAATTTGAGTCGTTTTTGGGTCATATCCTGATCCAGCAGGTAAGTCATATGTATAAGGCAGGATTTCAATTGACATCTCAAGCTCATACCTTGGGATCAATGACGTGAATAGAGCCCTTCTGTTTGCTTCCCACGAGTGGATCCGTGAGGGTTCCGAGGCCAGGGAACCATTTGGCACGGCTCTCCTCATTGTCTTCACAAGCCGTGAAGAGGAGACCGCTTGGTTCGTGGTAATGGACATCTTCGCAATGGATAGTGTCGTCAATATAGATGAGGTCTCCAGCTTGCGCCACGGCAGTGTTTAGCTTCTCGCGTCCGATTCCTGCAAGGGCGATTGTCCTCTTGGCTGCGGGAGCATAGTTGAAGCCTCCGAAGATGGCGAGGCCGGCTACCAAAACTGGAACCAATGCCGCCATGTTGTCCGCTGACGATGATGTGAAAGGTAAGGTACTGAAAGAAGTGTAGTGTATGATGAGGTAATGATTTACTCGGTTTCAAGGTATGCTATATAAGATGTGAAGAATTGAGGTCCTAGACAAGTATCCACAAGTCTGCTCCGGCGGTTCAATGGTTGTCCGTCGCCGAAATCCGGGCTCTCGGGTTTCAAGCAGTCAAGGACTCACGGTGAGGGGGAAAAGTCCGTGATGTGGACGGGGAGATGTGCTCGGGGACCAGGTAAGATCCGCTAAATAGCGTTCAAGGTTGCGGGAGTGGAGGTGTCTCGGAACTGAATACGTCACGCGTGCGGAGGAATCCCACCAAGCTTGAGGGTATTCTCCCGGCTACGCAGCACGCAGTAGGGAGAAAGTCTGAGAGGCTAGCTACGGATAGGTAGATCGCTTCTCCAAAGTCCAAATTAACCTCGGCTTAGTCAAGGCTGCCTTGACTCCAATTACGGAACGAATGGAAGCCAAGGAAGCAAGAAGATCAAAAGGAAGCTACCCTTGCATGCAATGGGTTTGAAGGTTAAGTCGACTAATAATGTCGATTATCTGCGGACCGTACCGTCGTCGGAGTTGTTGAGAGGGCCAAAAAGATTACATTTCCGAAACCGAGAATCGAACTCGGGGCTATGCCTAACCTCTCACAGAGATGAGAGGGCATCATGTTGGCCACTACACCATATCGGATGTGTTTGATGAAATTTCTGACTGGGAATTGAAGAGAAGTCAGTGAGGATTGGGAGAAGCTGGACGATCTCGGTGGGTTTGGTGGGTTTGGTGGGTGACGAACGGCCCCTCGGCGAGATCTGCGAGCCATTTGCGCCATGAAGTGGGTTGAAGATGGAAAAAATCAGGGCACACTAATTTGACGAAATCCGTCTGCGTTGTCTCTGCTCCATCGGCGCCACTTTCTGCTTGGCAGTTTGTTACTGAGTCAACGTGGGAATGGTAGGTGATATTAATGGGAGGACATCATGGGAATAAATACAACCAACATCAAAGTTCTGTCAACCATATGGTTGTAAAGAATGGAATCAGAACCTCTGCCCACGCTCCCGTTGCGCTAAGGATCATAGTTCAAGATCCCCAACTTTGAGCGGCGCGCGGTGGCTAGCTCCCGCACAAAGACAAGACGAAAGACCTTGAGAGCAGTGATGAACCAGGTTCATGAGATAAGAGTCAATTAAATGGGACTCTGCAGACTCTATCCGTATCCGAACTTCCGTCGGGAGCACCGCGACTGAGGTGGAGGGCCCACGGCTGATGCGATAGCTCACATGCCCCATTGGGAACTGGCCAAAGTCCTGGTTGGTCTAAGGTTTAGGGGAGCTGTGGCCAACAGTCTGTTCTGTGCGACAACTCTATCCGCCCTTGACCAACGGTGTTTGTCCAACACGAAGAAATCTCCGAGGTGGAGCGCTCGCTGACCTTGTCAGGTGTTCGGTGAGAGTCTTACCCTGACTGACAAGAGTTGACATACTTCAACCTTGAGGCTGCAAGAAGAGACCATAATGAAGCTGTGTGCGCCAAATCAACATACTGCTCGTATGGCTACGAGTCTAAGTCCCCGTGAGGCCAGTCTTGCCACCAGAATACAACGGGAAAAGCTTTGGAGAGATCAAGATGATAGATTCCAGAACTATCACGGAACGTCCAAGTACCTTGATGAATGTTTGCCGCTTGTGAGCAAAAGTCAACTCCGGCACCATGAACCCTTGCGATGAGAACCATATACAGGAGCAAGCCATCAAGGAGCCTCAAGTGAAGAATTCGCACAAAACTCTACATGTATAAATCTAGAGCACCTTTCTTTGCCTCTGCTTGATGAACCTCTTTTCTTTGTAACAATCTTTAGGTCTCATTCGGACTTGGCTTTCCCAGAGTCTTCCCAACCTCACCTCGAGCATTATCACCTCAAGAGGAACCTCAAATTATAACAACCATGATAGCCCCTACCGCCCTCCTCCTGGCCCTCATAAGCCTCATACCCTCGGCCATCGCCGCACAAGACAAGTCAAGATGTAGCCTCCAGAACCAACACCACCAAAACTACGCCCAAAACATCGGTATGCGCTACAAGGAGGAGTGCATCCGCGTCGGGCTTCACGTCTCCAACACGGGCGCCTGCAGGGTCTCGTGCGATCACCTCCCCACCTACTACGAATGGGCCAATATCTATGGGCGCGAAAAGACAGCGCGAAAGAAGGCGAGGCTGCAGGAGAGGAAGCGGGAGAAGCAACGGATGGCAGACCTCGCCAAGAAGCTTGGCCTTCCTCCTCTGTATAATACCACCACTCCTGATCCGTCTACGGCTTCTGCTCTCCCCGTGGCGGTGGGAAATGACAAGATGGAGATCGAATCAACTTCTTCAGAAGAGCCTGCAATGTTGCTCTCTACTCGTGGAATCACAGCAGCACCGACTGCTACCGCAGCAGCTCTCAAGATCGCAAATACATCGACTAGGCCCTGCAAGCCCAAGGAGATCTCAGGCTATGACCCCCTATGCACCCTCACCCGCAGAGTCCCCCGCTACTCCAAAATCCAAGCCGCGCTGTCTTCCTCCCTACAGGCAGCGGCGTCTACCCTCAACGCAAAAGCGTCAAGCTACCGCGTCATGCTCAACGATGCCAAAGCTACCGCCGTGGAAAAGACTGCCACCGTCACCGCGACAGTCGAGAAGCTGGTCACCAGATGCACATCATCGTCGTCAGCAAAGACTTCAACTACCAAGGCCGCTGGTAGCAACACCACACCTACCCCAATTGCACGTACAACCTCGACCAAGAAGCAGACGAAGGCGACGAAAACGACGACTTCGTTGAAACCCACTAGGACCATATATGTAGCCTCCGAGGGTTCATCTACCTCCATTATGTGGTCGATGCTCGTGGCGTGGATTGGTATTCAGGTCCTGTTTCTAGTAGTCATGTAGACACATGCAACGTGGTTATGGGAATGATGGGAAGAAGATTGGATGCGTAGGAGATGACTAGGTAGGAGTTAGTGAAAGTGGCTTTGAGACCCGTTCTCCGTCAAGGGCACAATGTCTCTATGGTCAAAAGGTTTGGTAGTCCAACAGTAATCTAATAAGTATTCGTTGAACAGTTACTCCTCGCATGTATTTTGCGGTAGGCATACTTGAAAAAAAAACAATGCTTTTCATTCTTGGTTGTTGTCAACCGCCTGTCTTTATCCACAAGTAAGTAGAAATTTAATATGAACTCATTGAATCATCACTTCACCTCCTATACTGTATCCTCATCAAATCTACATTCTTCCCCCATTAACATTCTCACCTACCCATAATCACCTGCTGCCTCCACTGGAGTATCCGTAGCCCTTCTCCCGCATCTCCTTCTCATTCGTCATCGTCCGGCTGCCGAGGGTAGGCGAGGAATCGAGCGCAACGCCGCCAATGGTGTAGTAGTGGCCAAACACACGGCTCTCAAGGTCCTTGGTGCCGCCGTGAGTCTTGTGCGCCACGCGACGGAAGTAGACGCGCTTAGCCCACTTCCACGACTCCACGCCCATGAAGAAGAGCACCGCGCCGACGAAGACGATGCCCCACTCCCAGGTAATGGGTGCGTGCTTGAACACCTTGGTGTTGAGCACGGGAATGTAGGTAAGGGGAAAGATGGTGATGAAACCAATAAGGATAGCAAAGAAGAGAAGCTTATTGCGCCAGGTGTCCCAGAACCACTGGGTGAAGTACTTTGTGCTTTTGGGCTGCATGCGGAAGAAAGAACGGCGCATATTGACCATCTCCCAGGCGAGGAAGAGAGCGAACCAGGTCAAACTCGCGAAGCAGGTTGCGCGGGCGCGGAACACGGTATCGCACTCGTCCGAGTAGGTGTTGTTGCAGTTGCTACCGAATTGTCCATTGCCCCAGCCAAACATGACGAGCACGAAAGACGCAAGGCAGAGCGTCGCAGTCCAGACACCGTAGACAAGCATGTCGAGCATCAGTTCCCAGGTGAAGACGCCGATTTTCATCTAGACTAGGTCAGTGTCTTGCGTCAGGCATCAAAGAAATGGTGGAGAGGAACCTACGTCTTGGGGAGGTCGGTCCATGATATCCGGGGCAGCGACTTCGAACCCGAGAGCCATGTCAGGAAGACCAGAGGTAATCATGATGATCCACATGACCTCGACAGGCGCAAGGGGAAAGACGGAAAGTCCGCTATCATCCTTGAAGGCCAAGCCGATGAGAAGAGTCAGGGCCTGGGCGACGTTACAGGCCAACACGTGCAGAACAAATTTCTGGATGTTATCAAACATGCGACGACCTTCCTCGACGGCGTTGAGAATCGATGCGAAGTTATCGTCAGTGAGAATGATGTCGGACGCCTCCTTGGCGACATCAGAGCCGCTCTCACCCATGGCGATACCGACGTCAGCACGCTTCAGACTGGGGGAATCGTTCACACCATCGCCCGTCATGGCCACAAAGCGCTCACGTCGGTGGAGAGCCTCAATCATGCGAACCTTGGTCTGAGGGGCACAGCGAGCGACCACTAGCGGGAGGTTGGGTAGCTTATCAATCTCGTCGTCTGAAAGCTTGTCGAAGTCGTGGGCAGCCATGACCATCGTTTTCGCCACGCTCGCTGAAATCTCATTCATGCGCGTGGGCAGAATACCGACCTCGAGGGCGATAGCACGAGCAGTTTCGGGATGATCACCGGTAAGCATGTGAACGCTGACACCTGCCTCGTGGAACTTCTTGACAGAAGGGCCGGATTCGGGACGGGGAGGGTCATAAAGACCGATGAGACCACGGAAAGTGAGGTCCTTTTCGAAGTTGGCGCGATCAAGGTTATCATGGTTATCAACGGTACCAATGTCAGACTTGCTCGCAAAAGCCAAGACACGAAGTCCAAGGCGAGCAAGAGCCTCCATATTGGCCAGAATATCCTGCTCAACGTCCTTGGTAAGCTCGACGACATCATCGCCCATCTGGATCGTAGGGCAAGAAGAGATGACGCGCTCAACGGCACCCTTAGTGAAGAGCCAAGTCTTGTTTCCCGATACTGCCTTTGTCTGAGTGTCCTCGAAGATGACGGACATCTTTTTGACATCAGAGTCGAAGGGGAACTCGGCAATCTGCTGCCACCGGTTGGAGTCGCCAGCGAGACGGAGTCTGTTCCAGTTGAAGCGGGATGCGAATACCTGAATGGCAATCTCAGTAGGATCGCCACGGGCGTGCCACTCTCCCTCGGGGGTCTTGTGGACGTTGGCCAAGTTAGCGAGAGATGCGACGTTGAAGTAGTCCGCGAGAACGGTGCTCTCCTTTAAACAATTCTCGGCGTCGGCATTGGAGAAGGGCTCGCCATCACCTTCCTTGGAACTGAAGTTGATGTCCTTGGGCTGGTCAGAGCTGTGACCGAGGTCTCCCGTCGTAGGGTTGAAGGGCTCGTTAGTGTTGCTGACGGAGAAGGTACCCTTTCCGGGAACCCAGGCCTTGCGGACAACCATCTTCCCTTGGGTAAGAGTTCCGGTCTTGTCAGAGCAAATGTCTATGAATGAATTAGCATCTGGCATAGGTAGGTATCGTCAATGTTTATGTTGGCAACCTACTCGTAACACCACCAAGGGCCTCCAAACTCTTCAGCTGGCGAACAATAACGTGACGCTGGACCATGCGTTTAGTTCCAGCAGCCATGGTAATAGTCAAGACCACGACCAGCGAGGCAGGAATCATCGCGAGACCAGTAGCAACGGCGTAAATCACGACCTCCTGTGTTGTGTTGAACTTGTTTGCTCCTAACACGATTAGGGCGCACACGACAGCGGTACCGAACAGCAGGATTGCCAACTTGGACAGCTTTCTCTGAAGGGGTGTCCCAACATTGACGCCCAAGAAGCGTCCGACGGCATCGGAAAGGGTCAAAGTCCATGCTTGAAGGTAGCGTCCAAAGGTGGCGGAGCCGTCCTCCTTACGCTTGACCTCTCGGCGGCGTGAGTTCTTGCCCCGGAGGGCGGCAGCAATCTGACCAATTTCGGTGTACATGCCAGTAGCGAAGACGATACCACGGGCACGTCCCTTTGTAACGGTTGAAGAGCTGTAGGCAACATTGAGGCGGTCACCAGGTCCAGTCTCATCATCGAAGGTCTGAGCAGCCTCTTTGCGGATGGGGAGAGACTCTCCCGTGAGCAAGGCTTCGTTTGTTTCAAAGTTGACAGCTTCGATGATGCGAACGTCGGCGGGGATGGTGTCACCAGTCTTGAGCTCGACCATGTCGCCAGGGACAATCTCAACGGTGGGGACGGTGATGTTGCGGCCCTCGCGTACGGCCTGAGCAGTGGGCGAGCTAAGTGATCGAAGCGAATCCATGGTCTTTGCGGCCTTGAACTCTTGATGGAATCCGACAGTAATGTTAAGGAAGATGACACCAGCGACAACGCCTCCTTCGATCCAAGACTTGATACCAAAAGAAGCGCCCATAGCGAGGATCAAAACCTAGTGGAATGCCTAGGTCAGTCTGTCGTTCTTTAGATGGAAGAATGAAGAAGGCGACGAAGTCATACCAAGGTCATTGCATTGGCAATCTGTCCAATGAAGATCTTGACGGGCTGAACACCCTTATCGGCGCCGAATTCGTTGCGACCATACTCTTCAAGACGAGTTTTGGCGTCCTCGGGAGACAAGCCGTCGTCTGGGTTGGCCCTCAACTCCTGAACGACTTGTTCGGTAGCCAGAGCATGTGCTGGTCGGGACATGGGCTTATTAGACTGTCCGGAGACGTGATTGGCCATAGCTTCGGCCTCGGGATCTTTCTTTCCCATGTTGACCGTTGTTTACCGGGGGAAAAGGGTAGATTGATTGATTGTGAAGAAGGATAGGACAGGCAATGATGTATTATCTTCCGGACTGCCTGGTAGAAGCTCTCCGAGAGATTCCAAGAGCGGTCGCCGGGACCAATCGGAGCGAAGGGATGTGTAAGTCTTTAGACAGATACGGGCTGGAACGGGCAAAAGTGTGAGTGCTCTGCTCTTATCCAGGTTCAAGCACTTCTACCCCCTTAAGGTCAAGAGAACAGTCGAGCATGAGTAGTAGGAGAGATGAGGTGATGACAAGAAGTCGTGCTGGGACTTTGTTCAGATTGTGTCGAGAGAGATGAAGAACGAAAAGCCAAAGACTCGAGAGGGGAGTTGGGAGAACATGTATACATGTACTTGGTGGCCTAGAACGGGGAGTCGTCCCTGGGCGTTATGACTTCATAACGAGATAGACGGACAGTACGAGGGGGGCGTAAAACGCCCACATCTATCTGTCTCCTCGCGGTCCGCGACAAGCGTTCTCGTGGGTGTCGTGGGCGTATTCCTTCAGCCTTGGCGGCTCTGCGCGGGGCTCTGTCCAGGGTACCCCCAGGCTTTCCATGATGTTGGAGCAAACTGAAGCTGTTCGACCGAAAATCGGTCGTGAACACGCGAGCGGTTCAATAGCACGCAATCCAGATCTTGGTTGGATCTTGACGCCCTCGCCTGCCATGTTGAGCCGCCGAGACTCTGGGCAGCGGGCCTCATTCTGGGCAGCCCGCTCCTCGAGAGGCTGAGAGCGGTGCTGGGCATTGTAATGGAGAACACAATTGGACCCGCCAGAGACAAGAGCATGGAGGAGGGGGTGGGTGAGGTTGAGGGATCGATGCTTTCGGTGATGAGTTTGGCTGCGCCCAGAAAGATAGAAGACGAGAGTTTCTGCCTTCTCCACTACGCCACCGTCCAGTAAAACATCTCTCTGCCTTCCAAGAAACATCCATTGTGGGGATACCCTCCTTCTAGAAGGTTGCCAGTTGCAGGGGTGCTGTCACCTCTGCAGTAGTGTACCTGCAATAGTGCCAATATCGTATACTGTGGTTGGTCATAGACTGTCCCCGTACAGTGTTCCCAAAGTTTAGTGTAGGGTTGACAGGTCTGAAGAGCAACATCGGCGGGCTTGCGATAAGGCCGAGTCTAGCTAAGCGTCGCTGAGTTGACTCCGGGGTGTCCCATTTGTACGGATAGGGATAATAGTTTTCGAGATGAAAAACGCCGCCGGGCGATGATCATGATTGTCTCTGAGATATGTGCACATCCAAGAAAGTGCCCAGAAGCTAACGAGTTTCCTGGGCAGCGCGGTTGGTATGTCGGAAACAGCTCTCCAAGACTCGTGTTTGATAGAGGGGAATCGCAACGAGGGGCTCTGTGACAGTTTCTCCGCCGTTCTCCACTCTCCCTGCTGCCGGCTGCGCGGCGGCCAACGTGCTCATCCTGCTCTTCCGGCTCCTTCTCATAGCCAGGACCTAGACATGCCAGAAGGTGACGCACACACCATACGACAACGGCCGCACCATTTGTTTAGGAGGCCTCTCAGTGCTCTGCACAACTATAAAGCGCCGTCTGTTGTCCGGGTTGTTGCAGGCGAGCGGCTGTTTTGTTGAACGTCTTCGGCGCCGAGGGCAAGACGCCGGCACCGCCAGAATCGCAAGAGCCCCCGATATTTTCGGCCGCCCTTCGAGTTTCCCCAGCCTTAGATGTGCCTATTCGAACCTGGTCGGTGGGCTCCGAACCTCCGGCAACCCGGACGCCCATCCTCAACTCACACCATGTCTGCACCTCGTAGGGTCAGTCAAAGTCCTGCCCTCACTATTCTTCTCAACTTCTCCCCTCACGACTTGCTTTGGACCCCGCGCACGAGAACGCCTGCCCAGAGTTCAGTCAAATTACGGCTGCGAGGAACGTGGAGAGAGCGAACATGAACCGGGATCTTGACCCAGTATCGCCGACTCACGACACTCCGGGCGCAACACGAGCGGGGGGAGAACGGGTCTGCCCAGAAACACAGCCACCCCGTGTGAGACGCCTAGATACTGGGCGAGAAGTGTGGGAGCCTGATTCGGAGACTCATCGAAATGTGTTGAGAGATATCGTGAGCCCCTCAGATAGGCCGATATTTTCTAGGCATAGAAAGACAAGGCCGCGAATAGCCCGACCTATCCAGCTACAACCACGCCTTCCCGCGTACTATGTCAGTGCATGTTTGCGGGATACTCGGAGCAGGGTCTTTGCCAAATCGTCCAGCATGCCTCATCGCCTTTCTCCATTCGGTGTCGCAAGAGAAATTGGTCAGCTGATGGTATTGGACGGCGGACGCCTTGGCCGCCCCGAGGTGGACATATGAGGTGGGTTGCGAATGGGAAGAGTCGAGCCTCTGGTAGGTCAGTCTGCCAGCCAAGGGATTACGGGCAACTTGGCGGTTCTTGGCATGTCTGCTGGGCGCCGGCGCCGCTCCTCCAGAGTCCACTTTCCTCTCCTCCAGCGCCGCCGCCGGCTCTCCTGGGGTCCGTGGATGCGTCTTGTTGTTGGAGGATTGGAGTCTGGAGTACTCCGTAGATGCGTCCCACCTCCAAACCTCGGGGTCTCCACGGAGACTCGTTCAAAAGTTTCCAACTTTCTAACTTTCTGGAGGGATAGAGGGGATAATTGTGGAGGGGCACTCCCTGGTGAAAGTCATCGTCACCCCAACATTCCCCCGCCCATCCACTGAGAAGGTCAGGGTATGTATCTAAGGTCGACGAACCCCTCCGTTGCTTCGTTTGTTGCGTTTCGTCCCCTACCTCTTTGTAATTCGGTCTATTTGCCCAGGAGTCCAGACTTCAGGCTCATTAGGCTGGCGTTTAGGAAATGGAGGCAAGGTAAAAGAGGCGTTCCGCCGCCTACCAAGGGTACCAAGACCAGTATCACACGCCAGTTTTACGTCACAAACCATGTCTATTTCCTTGAACCCCAGAAAGATTTACACCTAAACAGGTGTCTGATTCGGTGCAATTTGTAGCCAAGGTTCTTGGCCCACGAACAACGATATCGCGAGGATGTTGAGCCGGGATGAACAGAGCAACTGAAGGATAATAACCAAGCAGGTGTGACCTTGTTGGAACTCATCAACTCATCGTTATCTCAAGCAAACGGCGAGGCTTGCCAGGAAGACTGGGCGCCCAGCTGTGAGAACACCATAGCTGAGCGCCGGTGCTCTTGGGTGAATGAGGGGTATCGGTGGCTGTTGGCAGAGAGCTTGCATCTAGCGTATCACCAACTCGGCTCTTGACTCCAGCCATTCATGAGCGTTCTGTAGGTGTGCCTTGTCGGTCTATGTAGCGTTTGGTGTCATCTGATCAGCCTTGATTGCGCCGCCGCCGCTTGTCGACATCTGCTGAGTTAAATGGTCGCCATCGCCGCATTTCTCACCACGAAATGCGACGTGCATCTTTCGAAAGCCACAACACAGCCCGTTATTGGCATCGAAAAACTCACGATTAACCAGCCCAAGAGGTGCCCGCTATTGCTTTCAAGTCGGTTCAGGAGTCTGACATGCCCCTCATCGGGCACCCACCGGCTGCATGGACGAACTTGGCATAATTTTGCTTACGCTTTTCATGGTCCTTCTCGTCTGCGGGCCTCTGTACAGACCGTACTGAACCCCTCTCTCCAGTCAAAATTGCGACGAGGAGCTGATGAGCACCCGTGTCGACAGAGTCCGCCTCACGTATCTGCGCATACAAGACCGTGGCAAATATCATCCTAGGACATCAAAGTTTCAAGATGCCCGACGAAAATTGAACACAGTCTCTGAGTGCCATAGCACTTACCTGGAGGGCTTGGATCTTGAGTCGAAGCTCACTCAGCATGACTCGGAACCGGAATGGTGAGTATCTCTCGCCAAGTTGTTCACTGAGGGGAAAGCCTTGGGCATGAGGCGTGCGCTATCTCCGCGGGGGAAGCCGACGACAGAGTTCGCCAATGCATAATCCACCGACGTCGCTAACGCTGCCACCGATAGTCCCATTTGCATCGGTCCACTGTTCGTCTCAAGCAATTGCAATGCGGCCGGAGCAGTACCGACGCAAGCAATCGCCCTGAAGGCCCCCGATTCCGGTGGGGACAGCCGTGTTCCAGAAGGAAGTGGAGAAGAGCCAAGCCGGTCTATAGTCGGAGGCACGAATGAGGGTCGTGATGTGAAGGCCACACTGCGAAGTTGGAGCATGCCGTGGCCGTGCAAGAGGAAATTGTCCGCGTCGGCAAGTGAAACGTCCGAAGATGATATCTTGACGCTGAAGAACTGCCAACATGCTTTCCACGCCAAGTGTCTCTCGTCGTGGTTTCTGATTGAGCGATTTGACTGTCCCGTTTGTCGTAGTCAATATTGGCAGACGCGGGAGACTCGGGCGAGGGTGGCGACCGCACCGGCGGCGCCGGTGCCGGAGAGCGGGTCTATTGAAGACAGATCCGGTATCACGCCACCAGTCCCGGCTCGGCTTGCGGCCGGGCGGATGGCAGTGCGTGTCATGTGATGCCGATGCATGCTAGCTTGGAAGAGAGTCTGTCCCCTTTCTTCGTGTAGCTGTCCAGATACCCCAGCGCGGTTGAGCAGGAGTCGGATCGTGCACTATCGTATTGTTTACCTAGTAGTTCTCAGTATATTCTTGCAATTCAAAACACCTTTGCCAGTCATTCGCCATGTGCAGTGCATTTGTGCAGCCATTTTGCAAGGGTCTGGTCACCGAAGGTAAACGGGCGGTGCTGCCTTATTACGTTTAACCTCGCGACATAGCTAGCTGAGCATTTTTCAACCAGCTGGGGATCGTGAGAGAGAGTTGGTTGAGTATTCATCGCTCCAATGCGGCGCGTGAGCCTGAGGTAGGGCGCCGTCCAATCAGTGGATGCGCAAAGATGGCTAAGCCTAGCAATGGTGCCGTGACCGAGAGAGGAGATACGTGGGGGCTTTGTCAGTGCAGATAGGTCTTTCGATTCTCGTAAGATAGGACTGGCAAAGTCTCCAAGGTTGCGCGTATTGCCGAGCAGTATCGGAAGCGTAGGCCAACCACGAGGCAGCCAGTAAGCGGGAGTTGGACGACATCGAGATCGCATCGTCATGGAGCCGGAGGTTTTGCTCAGCTCGCGGACCAGACGGTCTGGGGGTGGCGCACGGTGAAGCTGGAGGCGCAGGGGTCGGCTGCATGGTACATTGGCTGACAAGATGTGTAGTTGATACGAGAATGCCACGATCAGATGGCTGCTTGTATTCACGATTGCTGATAGGCAATCAATCGTCGAGGATACCGTATTGTACATGTCGGCCCGGCACCGAGAGTGTCATAGGAGTCGTTATTTTGCAGTTTGCTGGACAAACACATGCAGCGATGCAGGCAGTTGGTACGATGCGGTACTGCCAGGCAAGCCGCAACTCTCAGGTTGTTTGTTTCGAGGTGGAGTCCCAAGTCTGAACGGTTCTTCTCTTGGATAAGGGAGGTGAGATTTTGGCTGGGTTCGGTGAGCTCGACTTGCGCAGGGCTAGCGGGAACGTGCATATTACCTGCTGGGATGATGAATTGGTGATGGAACAAGCCGAATGTGAGTGGACGACGGAGCTTGTGTTCCCTTTGGCATTTGTACAGGTAGGGCAGACGGGGTGTGGCTGTTTCCAATCACGGCTCGAATAGCTGCCTACCCTACGGCGGGTGCGGTGACATTGGTGAATACCTAGTGAAGTGGATGTCTCTGCCTCCGTCTCTGGCAATAGCACGATGAGGTCATTGCGAGGAGGCTGAAATGGTATATGAAAGATGTGTGGAGAGAATGGGGGCGTTGTTGGGTGGACTCTGCAAAGTCTGCTAGCAATCCGTGCCGTTTGCCGTTGTGTAAGTTAAATGTTTTTGGGGCAAATCCAAAGGTGCGATGAAGATGGAATGTCGATCTCGCAAATGGAGAATTGGAGACGGTGAATTGAGTACCTTATGCGAATTCTACCCGCTTGGCTTCATTGGGTCTCCTGCTTGGTGTAACGAATGTCTGGGCCCGCCTTCCTCCTAATGCTTCATTCTTTAGACTAGGGAAGGAACCAGACCAAGATACCTAAGGTAGCTCTCACCTTCCATTCATGCAAGGTACTTACCACTAAGGTACGGTACGTTGAAGAAGAAAGATGAGGAAGGTGCTTGCTAAGGTAGGTTATTTGGAATTTGATACGATGACAAGGCCTTTCCTAAGTCTAGAAGGCACTGGGTGCGCACTTGCCATGCACACGGCTCAAGAGCAAGACTTGAGGTAAGGTAGGTAGGTAGTTAGGCAGGAGGAAGGCACAGGAGTGGTGTCATGGTGGTGACGTCGGGAGCTCCTACTATCGATTTAGTCGAGGTGCGTCTGTGTCTGCGCTGTTGGAGGAATGACGCACGATGTGTGGTCCGTGCTCTCCACACCTACCTCATAGCTCAGTATCGTCGATTCGTCCCTTCCTTCTATTCCACTTCCACGAATGCAAACGCGCCTTTTGCTCCTGCGCTTTCTTCTTTTTCTTCTTTTGCCCCTTCTTTCTTCGCATGCTTGGATACTGTGAGGAATCAAACTTACTCATCAGGTAAGCGCCGTCTTCGTCTCTTCCCTAGTCGAGCGTGGACTGTGGCGTCTCAACTGCCTGATTACTCATGTGGCGGTTTCGCGTCCTCGCTTCAACTTACTTTAGCTGTCTTCTTCTTCTACCTTACCTTCACAGACTCTATTGATCCCACGCGTCATACCTCAAGGGACGAGCTTCTTCGAGTCGGAATGTGGTACCGTGTGGGGCCTGGTCCATATTAATTCAAAAAATCAGAAAGCAAAAAGTAGAGTCGGCACAGCAGCAAGAATTGAGGCAAACCTCGAGATCGTTTGGCCCTAACCTTACCTGATACTACCCCTTAGGTTCCTCTTTCTCATCACAAACATGAGAAGGCTACCTTACCTCTAGGGTGAGACTAAGTGATTGGCGACATGATCGGGACCCTAAGGTACCTTAAGGTAGGTAGAGAGCACCCGTCTTACCTTAAGGTAGCTTCCATTTCCAACTCCCATCCTTCCCGTCCTTTTCCCTACCTACCTTATGTACCTTCCATTAGTTCGAGTACCTATTTCAAGCTAAGCTAAGGTAGACACTCGCCTCTCTTACTAGCCCGTTCGCGCCAAGGTACATGGTCCTTTGTACCTGACTCCCATCCGACGTCTGTCCCTCGTGCGCGCAGTGCTCGGTCTGTGGCCCCGTTGACCTCATCGACGTTTTCCATCTCTTCGCTTCGTCTCTGCCTCTCTCTTACTCCCGCCTCTCTCCCTCTTTCTATTCTCCGCCCTCACATACCCTCATCCTTTGCTTTACTCAGTGCGCGCTGCATGTGACTTGAGAAATCCCCCTTCAATTCAGCTTCAACTCATCCTAAATCATCTGCTCCTCTCTTGCTTTCCCCATACAGTCTCGTTGCACCTGTCATCGTCTTCCTTCCCGTCCTAATTCAAGAGAGTATCATCCTGAACAAAGCACCCTATTACTCACACAACATCCTTCGAAGTACCTCACTCGATCCGAAATTCGGTCACCTGCAGTAGCCCCAAGACGTCTCTACGTAATTCGCATCCATCTGACACCCAGCCATCCGTATTACCTTAGTTCCCACCTGGCAAACATCCACCTTCGAGCATAACTATCCTAGGGCTCTATACTACTACGCGCTTCCATATCCATCACCTTGCCAGACCACTTCTCGCCAGATCCGCCCGCTCCTACCGTCTTTGACTGCATGAGGAGCTTTTCTTCCGCCGCCACCAATCATCTGTTGTATACCCAACGACTTCTTCGTGCCACGAGCCCTCTCGTGCCGTCACTCGTCCCGCCCCTGAGCTCATTGCTCGCTTGTGTCTCCCGCGCCCATCAGTACTCGTTTGGACGACCATTTACTCTACTTAAGTGCTCATACACCACCATGACCGCACCCAAGCGAAAGAAGTCTGGTATAACCAATGGACAACCTGCCACCACCGACGCTGCCAATCCCGTCCCCGATACTCCGGCTCCGCGCCGATCCGCCAGAAACATCAGCGACGTGAAACCAGTCACTAAGCCCGGCGCCGCCATGAGTCCCACAGAAGCCGACCTTGCAAAAGACCAACCACCGGCTAAGCGCCGCCAGATTAGCCGCAAGAAGGTCGAGTCTGAGAGTAGCGTGCGCCGTGCCATAAGAGAGCTCACCGAAATGGAGAATCGTCTACAGAATTCCACGAGAAACCAGCGTCTTGCCATTGAGGCAAGCCATGTCCCGCCTTGTGCAGACGAACCCCACTCAGAGAAACACTCATACAAACCTCACATGACGATCTATGCATCAGATCCGGAAAAACTTGCCCGGATGGCTGAAGAGGAGCGATCCGGTACTCCCAGTTTGGATGCCGCCCCAATTGAAGGTCCAGCCGGGGAAGGCGCTGTCGGTGACGTCGAGGACGACAAGGTGCTCCTCGAGAACGCCCCGGAGAGAGGTGCCGGTCGAGAGCCGCCTGTGAACAGTAGTTACTTGCCCCTCCCATGGACCGGAAGGCTAGGTTATGTATGATCCTCCGAATCTTAGACCTCGATGCTATCGACTAACACTGCATCAGGCTTGTCTCAATACCTATCTCCGCGCCGCAAATCCACCCGTCTTCAGTTCGAGAACTTGCCGCATAGCGTCCATCTTGCAACACCGTCACCCTCTCGCGGATCCATCTCAGCCTGAACACGCTACCAAGAATCGCCCTGACGAGAACCAGCCAGCCGATATTAGGCGCGGTCAGAAGTATGTGGAGGAGCTGGGCCTGGCCAATGCTCGAGATATTGTCAAAATGCTCCGGTGGAACGACAAGTACGGAATCAAATTCATGCGACTGAGCTCAGAAATGTTTCCATTTGCAAGCCATGAGGAATACGGCTACCGTCTTACACCGTTCGCTGCGGAGTCCCTTGCAGAAGCGGGAAAAGTCGCTGCACAACTGGGCCACAGATTAACAACGCACCCAGGCCAGTTTACTCAACTCGGTTCACCGCGCAAAGAAGTCATCACGGCCGCAGTTCGAGATCTGGAATATCACGATGAGTTGCTCAGTCTTCTCCGCCTCCCCGAACAACAGAACAGAGACGCCATCATGATATTACATATGGGTGGCACTTACGGCGACAAGGCGTCTACGCTGGATCGATTCCGTACCAACTATGCCAAGCTGTCACAGTCTATCAAAAATCGACTTGTCCTCGAGAATGACGACGTTGCTTGGTCTGTTCATGACCTACTACCTATTTGCGAAGAGTTGAATATTCCAATGGTTCTTGACTTCCATCATCACAACATCATCTTCGACGCAAGCCAATTACGTGAGGGTACCGAGGATATCACAAAGATTTATGACAGAATTAGTGCCACATGGACGCGCAAGAATATCAAGCAAAAGATGCATTACAGCGAGTCGTGCCCGAGCGCTACCACACCACGGGATCGAAGAAAGCATTCCCCGCGAGTGCGCACTCTTCCGCCGTGCCCTCCTGACGCGGACCTCATGATCGAGGCCAAAGATAAGGAGCAGGCTGTTTTTGAACTCATGCGCACATTCAGGCTTCCGGGATGGGACTCGTTCAATAACGTAGTCCCTCACGAGCGACTGGATGAAGTCCGGCCTAATAAAGCGGCCGCCAAGAAGGATGGCAAAAAGAAGCCCAAGAAATCCAAGAAGAAGAAGGATGAAGACGAGGAAGATGAGGAGCCAGAGGAACCTGAATCCGTCGTCGTGGAAGAGAAAACCATAGCCCCTGAAGATTTCGGCATGGGTGGTCCGCAACACAGGGTGTACTGGCCCGAGGGCATGGAAGAATGGTTGAGGCCTAAGAAGCGGGAGGTAAAGAAGGCGAAATCCACACTAATCAAGGAGGAGATCAAGAAGGAGGATGATTAATGTCGTTACCTTGTGGTATAACGATGGGGGTTCCACCGTGTACTATCTGTATGAAGTCAAGGCTGGCGCATTGTCATCGAGACATGGTTCAAAATAAGAGAAATGAATTGTACGATATCGGAAAATGAAAGAATCATCAGTATCTAGGGTGTTTGAGCCTTCGATGTGTTCAAAACATGGTGGGCACCGCACGGCTTATGTTGACAAGTAGGATGATAAGACTGGCCCTCTGAACACTGTCCCTTTGCGATGGGATTCGACGGATAGTTGTATAACCAAAGTCGATGGTGCACACGACGTCGATTGGTAGACTCAATAACCCCATCGACGATTTTCCAAGCAACCCAACCCAACGCCGGCTTCACAGACCGAGTACGGTGTAGATTATGCGCGTTGGAAATTCTGCACCCGTCATAATCACACACAGATTGGAACCATGGCATGGCGAAAGTCTCGCCAATGGTCATGTGAGCTCGCAGGACCCGTGAGACTTGGCTGCATAATAATGTCGACCAATCTGCGCACTTTCATATACCTGCCATCGAGAACGTCATTGATGTCGACAACTGCCGAACACCCACCACCTCGGCCCATCTCAATCGCGATACTTTCTATCCAGCAATTGCTCGAGATTCTCGTATCTCGATAAGTCTTGACCCCATTATAGATAGAAGACGGATCAATTGAGCCGAGTCACCCCACATCCGTCACCTTCACCTTCGAGAAGGTCGAGAAGGGGGTTGCGAAAAAAAAGTCAATGACCAGATGATTGTGATAGCCACGCGGGATAAATTGACAACCAACAGTCCCCCCGGGACTACAGTCGTCAAATCACCTTTGCCGGCTGCCCGTCTGTCGTCAATTCGCTCCAAGGAGGGTTGCAATGACCTTTTCCTTATCAAGGTTACAGCGTGCCCAGGGGTTGAGAAAGCTTAGCTCGGGAGGGAGATAGGATGGCGAGAGGGGAGAGGGGGGGTTCATCCTTGAACGGCTCCAATCTGTTCCGGAAGATGAACAGAGACAGAGGCATATCGCGGGGGTTCAGGGTATCTGAGCTCTGGCTGAGTTGAAGTGATATTATCAAATGTCACTCTCCCCGTGCGACTGTGGTATCGGAGTGATAGTTGGACGGGCCGATATCAGAACTGCTACGTTACGATCAATTGAACTCATAAACGAACTCTTTCCCCATATTCAGTCTCAGTCATGGAGTCTTGTTTCTATGTATCAACTCCTCCTTCCCCGACATCAGTGCCTCCATGACCCTTCCCGCCTGAAGTCGTCCCAACCCTGAGACACGATAACCACACAAACAATGTCTGCCCACCACACCGTACCCGCGCCCACGGACGACGTTCAGAAAGCTCAAAACAAACCACAGTCCCTCCTCGACCACACCCCGTCCCGCCAAGATGGGCAAACCTTTTACACCATGGAGCCACCGGCGGTGATACTGCACGACCCTAACGTGACGTTTGAAGAGTATCTCTACTGGGCCGAAGTCACGCGCGCCGAGGAGAAGCTAGCCAACGAGCGGTACCTTCACTCTCGAGGACCCGTGACGCTCAAGAGTGTTGTGAAGGACCGGTTCAGGAAGGGCGATGAGCATGTGAGGTTCCAGGGGGGCAGCGAGGGCAGTGGAAATGAGGATGTCGGTGCTGGTGCTGGGGAGAAGCAGAACGGGAGTGGAAGCGATAAGGCTTTGCATCCTGCAGAGAGTAGAGATGGCGGTGTCGTTACGCCAGAGGAGTGGAAGACGGCGAGCAGAGCGGTGAGGACTGCTGGTTGGGGTGCTGTGTTTTACCTCATCACCACGGATATCCTTGGGCCGTTTTCTACGCCGTGGGTTTACTTATTCTTAACTCGTGACCGAAGCGTAACTAACATGATAGTCCAGCTGGGCCTTTGCGCAGATGGGCTACGGCCCTGGTATCGCGCTGTACACCGTCTTCGGCATCATGTCATTATAGTAAGTCTCCCAAAGACCACCCTCTTGGACAACAAGTGACTGACCGATTCAAGCTCCGGCTGGATCCTCTACAAGGCTTTCCTGGGCCTGGACTCGGACAGATACCCACTCAAAGGCTACGGCGATCTCTACTTCCGCGTCTTTGGGGCCAAGGCGCGGCACGCCATCAACTTCGCCCAAGGTCTCCAGCTCATGTTATTTGTGGCCGTGCTGATCCTCGCCAACGGGCAGTCCATCTCGCAGATCAGCAAGGGCCCCAACGGCAACGCGGGAATCTGTTTCGTGGCGTGTCTTGTCATCTTCATGGCGGCCGGGTTCATCTTGGGCCAGATTCGGACGCTGCAGCGGTTTTCGTGGATTGCAAACTTGGCTGTGTGGGTGAATCTACTCATCATTTTCATCTGGTAAGTCTTGGAAAAGTATGCAATTCGGGTTGATGTTGACACCGGACAAACAGCATGGGCGTCGTGGCACACTCCCCTCCCAACTTCGCCGCGACCCAGGCCTCCTTCGGCGACACCTTCGGACCCGGCCCCGTCATCACCTACGCCGGCACACCCCCACCGGGCATGGCCTCGGGCGGCTCCGGCTTCCTGGGTTCCATGAACGGGCTGAACCAAGCCGTCTACTCGTACGGCGGCTGTCTCATCTTTGCGGCCTTCATGGCGGAGATGCGGCACCCCATGGACTTTTGGAAGGCCCTTCTCTGCGGCGAGGTCTTTATCTACGTGTGCTATCTCGTCTTTGGGCTGTACGTGTACTCCTTCCAGGGCCAGTACGCCTTCAACCCCGCCATGCAGAGTCTGTCGCCGTACTGGTGGCAGACGGCGACCAATATTCTAGGTCTAGTGACGGGGTTGATCGCGGCGGGGCTGTATGGAAACATTGGCATGAAGGTCCTTTACGTCGAGCTGTTGCAGGAGATCTTTGGAGCGCCGCCGTTGACCGAGTCCGCGGGCAAGATGTTGTGGGCGGCGGTAATACCCGTGTACTGGGCTCTCGCCTTCATCATTGGCGCCGCTGTGCCGCAATTCTCGCTGGTGTCTGGATTCATCGGGGCGTTGTTCATCCTGAGCTTCACATACACCCTTCCGGCGCTGCTGGGCCTAGGTTATTGGATTCGGAAGGATGCAATGGTGCCAGAACAGGAGACGTTTGACCCTGCTACGGGTAGGTACGCGTATGTTGATGGTGGGTTTCAGCGATACCGAAGAGGGTTTATGAAGAGGCCTCTCTTCAATGCTTGGAATATCGTCTACATGCTGGGAGGGCTTGTTACGACAGCGTTGGGCATGTACTCGTCGATTGAGGGGTTGATTGCGGCGTTCAACGGAAAGTCCCAGGCCACGAGCTTTGGTTGTGGAAGTCCAGTCTGAGTTACTTAGGCTGGCTTAGGAATGGTACTTTGGCAATTTTCATTAGTTGCTGCTGGATAGAGAGCTCACGGCTCACTTACTTGATAATGTGATATTCTGTCAGTTCGCATCAGTCCAGGATGAATCACTTCCAATCATAGTTCTCAGATTGTAATACTGGTCATTAGGACAGCGCTGAGCCGTCGATGTTAAAGCTAACTATTTGTTAGACTGGGTATCATGTAAGCAAGCTCCCAAGCTTCTCCGTCGTCTCCCGCACACACTCCATCCGGTGATGGCAGAACAATCGATGCCATGCCACGGAATTACCGGAAAACTCGTCGTCCACCAGTTCGAACTGGGAATCTCTCTACGCCGCTGCTCTGCTGCTCGTGCCACAAGCCTTGAATTCCCACCCAGCCTCCATCTCCCGATAGCTTGTAACGTCGCCATGCTTCGCGGAGATGGTCTGGTCGCAAGGGGCCTCTCCTGTCTTCTGTCTGGGTCGCGTCGTCTTTGGGCGGTGGCGTGGGTACGTCTGCCTGCTTTTCGCCGGTACCTTTGATCCACTCCCCTTGCACATCTCGAGCTCTCTCGATGAGCTCGCCAATGAAAAGCTTCGATACTGACTTGACGGCGAGAGCAACGTTTGGTGGGACGGATTGCGAGACTGTCGCATTGACGACCTGAGCGATGATTGTGTCAGTATTATGGCACAGCACCAGCCAGAAACCAGATTAAGGAATTTTACCCTTTTGACTACGGACTCTGTGAGTTTGGCTGCGCGCCAAAGTTCGTAGCGGTCGTACTGTTCTGGGTCAAAGGACTCCACGAGCATGGCACGGAGTCTTATCTCCTCTTGCTTCTGCTCCTGTGTCCTGACTGTGGAGTCCACCAACGCCATACGCATATCGTTATCGTCGTCGTCATCATTGGCGCCTTCCTCTTGTGCATCGCCTCCAGCACCTGCGCCGCTGACAGTTGTGGGCGCGCGTCCGCCTACCAGAGAGGGCGTTTGTTCTCGAGTCTCAACGTTGGTCTGGTTCTTGGGCTTCCTGCCGCGCTTCTTCTTAGGAGGCGCACTGACTTGGCTGCCGCTGACGACACTAGCGTTGTCGGCCGAGGGTGAGCGTGGGAATGGTGAGCCGGCTTCGGGTGGGAAAGAAGTCTGGCGAAGGGGGTGGGCGGCGGCGGAGGTGACGGAGAGTGTCGAGGCCTTTCGGCGCTTGGCAGACCCTGGAGGGGCGCCATCTGATGCTCGTTTCTTGTTCGACATGGGGAGCTGCGCGGGTGACGGATACGGCGGTGAGTGTGCGGTCGGAGAGTATGAGTATGGAGGGGAAGCCATCGCAAAGGCTTCGAGGAGGATCGCAAGGAGTGATGAGCGCCGGCAAGCGCAGTTGCTACGTCGAAACGAGGGCAGAGGCCTTTACGAAGAGTCGAGAAGAGATGTATTCAAGGAAGGTGTCGGTCGGGCGTCGCTGTGTTTCGCTGGGTTTAATTTGGTTGAAGTCGTCAGGGTCGTGGAAATTCATGTCCAGCTTAAGCCTTGAGCGTGAAGGCGCGCCGCGGTCGATGGATCTGGAAAGAGTGGAGCATGGTCAGCCGGATGACTAAGGTCGAGTGTTTCCTGAGTTTCCCAAGCCAGCTGTCCTATGACCAATGCCAGTCCTTGGCAGTGTCTAGGCTCAGTTCACCTGGGCTGCACCGTGCATGGCAGGCTGGAAACAAACGGGCGGATGTTTGAGCGAAGTTCCATCGAGGTACGTACTGCCCGGAATGGACCCTTGCGTCAGACGGGAATCGGAGAAGTGGGTACCTGAGGTACCTGGTCAATTTTCGCAATACCAAGCTTACACTGCAGCAAGCGCTGAACGTGGCTGCCCGCTGCACCGGTGACTGGCAGAAATGCACTGCTGCAGCACGTTGCAATCCTGAATCCTGGGGGAGGTACCTCTGGAATCTAGCGCTAAACCACCCGATAAGATAACGCCGGCCGTAACCGAATTTTCTGCTCCGATTTCCCTCCAGAGTCTCGAATGAGCGCAGCGGGGGCGGCCTGTGTACGGACTTTTGTTCACTTGGAGCACCCAAATGTTCCCATTCTCCCACCTTCATAACCACAACCATCAACTTCCACAGCCAATTCCCTCTCCTCTCCTCGGATTCGGATATCACAATGACTCAATCAGAGGGCGTAGTCGTCAAAGAAAGGAAGAGAAGCCGAAGCAGGCACCAGAATGGCCACCACAGTGCTTCAAGCGACGGGAGTGAAGCCGAGACCGCGAGCCAGTCCAGCAAGCGAAGCAGCAGGAAGCGCAAGGGCGACGACGATGCCAAAGTCAACGGCAACCACTCCAAGAAGCAGCGCCGCCCAAGCCTGAGCCAGCCTGCGCGCGATCCCCGTGACACTACCACATCAAAGTCCAAGAAGAAGTCGTCCAAGCCCAAATCCGAGGGCGTCGTAACGAGGTCACCGAGCCCGGTGATTGACTTTGACGGCCTCAGTCGCCCGAGTAAGAGTCACGCCATTCCCGACCCCGCGCAACCCAATTGACTAATGCGCAATGTCCTTTCAGGTCTCGGAACCCGTGAACGTCTCGATGAGTCCCCCGAGCAGGCTGCCGTTCGTCTCGAGAAGATGAAGGGCGCCGTCCGCACCATCCTCGAATGCGTCGGCGAAGACCCCGACCGCCCCGGCATCCTCGACACCCCGAGACGCTACGCCGAGGCCATGCTCTTCCTGACCCGCGGCTACCAGCAGAATGTCAAGGACATTGTCAACAATGCCATCTTCCAGGAAGGCCACAACGAGATGGTCATTGTCAAGGACATTGAGATCTTTAGCATGTGCGAGCACCACCTCGTTCCGTTTACCGGCAAGGTTTGTAGACCCCGAGACACGTCCATTGGCAATTGCAACCCCCGGCTTACAAGTGTCCCCAGATGCACATTGCCTACATTCCCAAGAACCAGGTCATTGGTCTCTCAAAGCTTCCCCGTATCGCCGAAATGTTCAGCAGACGTTTCCAGATTCAGGAGCGCCTGACGAAGGAGGTCGCCTACGCCATCATGGAGATTTTGAAGCCCCAGGGCGTCGCTGTTGTGATGGAGTCCAGTCACCTGTGCATGGTCATGCGCGGCGTGCAGAAGACGACGGCCAGCACGATAACTAGCTGCGTGCTCGGTGCCTTTGAGAAGAAGGAGAAGACCCGGAACGAGTTCCTCAGTTTGGTGGGGTTGAAGACATAGACGGGCATGCTGCGCAGAAGCACCCTGAGACATTACTCGAAAGGAATATCTTCCGAGCGGTAATGGTCTCGTCTGATATATTGTTCTACATATTCTCGGCGTTTGGTTTACACGGGTATGCATCACGAATTGGAAAGACCATGTTTAACACTGGGTCAAGCATTGGCGATTACTGGGGAGGGTAGATTTCATGAGAAGGGAGCTCAACGCTCGTTCTGGACTAAAAGAATTTTTCGAGGCGCAAAATACAACACTTACATTGCTGGCTACGGGCTGGCTAGATTGCTCGTTTTCCAGCCAAGGATCAATCAAGCCTTCTTGCTTGCCACGCCTACCTACATCCATCCGGCCTCACGCCTACCGGCATATTAGTCCGTCATCGTGCTCTGGCGCCTAAGCGGTGAGACTTCTCCCTGCATTGATATGCGCTGCAAGGGAGCGCAAGCTATGGCCGCCATGCCGCCATGGAGGGGCAGTGAAACAAGGCCAATTGGCATTGGCTCGGAAGCGAGTCGCTTCAGAAAACAACGTCCTTGAGGGAAGGAAGCAAAAGCAAACACGAACCCCGCACATGCCACCACCCAGAAACTTCCTGTGAAGTCATCGTCAACACGACACAGCAAAAGCCAATAGATGAGAGACTCTCTCCCCTTCCAGAATCGAACTATAGACCTTTCGATGACAATGAAACCATTACAGTCGAACGTGCGTAGTGGTCTAGAGATGTGGCCTGCCTGGACAACCTCAACCCACCTTCCCTCCTTGCCAAAAGAGATAGGGGGGAAAAAAAAAAAAAAAAAAAGAGGATCTTTCGCCCACACTTTCATCGCAACATCGTCACATTTCACAATCACAAAACAAGAAAAAACATACAAAAAACTGATGGTTCTTCCCTTCCAGAATCGAACTAGAGACCTTTCGATATTAATGATGCCATTACAGTCGAACGTGATAAACCAACTACACCAAGGGAAGGTGGGTCAAGGGCTGGGCCTTGCTCGGTGATACCGGACGAGGCCGTTGAGGGCTTCATAAGGGCTTGATGGCGGGGTCGATTCCACCAGTTCCACAACTATTAGCATCTCGCTGGCAAGTGGGTAATAGAATAAGAGGCCAGGCGATATATAAGTTAAATTTCGTTCTAACATCACTAGTATTATCAAAGCTACTATAACACACTTCTTCAAAAGTATTCTCTAGTGAATATATAGGAAATGAGAAATACGAAGAGCAATAATAATAATAATTAGAGTAATAATAGTTATAAGGGTAATAGAGATAATAAAAATAATAAGAGTGATAAAGGTAATAAAGGTAATAAAGGTAATGAGGATAGAATATATAATAACTATAGAGGCAAGGTATAAAACAGTAGACTACTTTATAATTTGAAGTCACTCAAGGCCAAACCTCACACGGATGAGGACACTATTACGGAGAAGCCCGAGAAACGAGATCTAGATTTCTACAAACTAACTAACATCAATCACGGAAATAGAGATTACACCGACAGTAGAGAGTAAGTAGGTCGGCAAAGAGAAAGAATGTTGGTCAACAAGTTGCTTCCACCCGGCTATAGCGCATGGCTCTCAACCCCATTAATTAGCAAGATATGGGCAATATACCTCTCAACCCGGAAAGCTCTTTGGCATTGGTTTGATGTTGTCTGGTGATATACTTATGAAGCAAGCTGCGCGTATCATAACAAGCGTACCTAATATAAACAAAGAGCTCTTCTCTTTCCCCGGGTTAAGTTCAAGATAGTGGTTCGAGGCAAAAGGTTGGTCAGAGTCTTTTGAGTCAGAGTGAGGTGAGAGTTGCTTGTCGAGTAAAGACTATAGTCCATAACTCCCTCCTTCCTCTTCTCTCAATCAAGGTGACTTATGGGGCAGTTCCTTCCTCAAGCACGGTAAACAAGTTCTCCGGCTTCTGCCTAGAGAAGGCCCGAAGATATCTATTTAATAGCCGACTCTTTCTTCTCTCTTTTCCTATCCATCTTTCTCTCTTCACAATCCACCCACAGGAGGAGTGTCAACGGATCCCTTCCAGCCTCACACATACACTTAATTCGTAGGAGAAGCACGCCAAGGTATGCTCTTCCTTTTTCCTTTTTCAACATATCATGCTGACAGTAGAAGTGAAGATATTTCTCACTTTCATACCCTCTCAAGTTCGCCAACTCCTCTCCGCACCTGAGAGGCTCAGCTCCTTCAGCTTTACCTACTTCTACACCAACAGACTCACTATCCCCTAAAATCATTCATCAGAAATACACGTAAGTACCATATCTGTAACGCGTGCTCGGTTACTGACGAACGCAAGACTCAAAAAGGACATCCTCGCTTCTTCGACGTCCTCAACATGACTGACGCCAACATAAGGGACCCGTCCCCTCAGGACAGCACACCACGCCTGCCTCTACAGGAAAGTGAGCCACGCGTCAGCATTGTGGAACCCTCCTCAAACCAGGTTCTCAATGGATCGCATATTGGCAGACAACGTCCATGGAGCAGAGGTATCCTTCCAGACGACATCCCAGAGTATCAACGGCAAGTAATGCTACGGCTTTCCAAGGCGCACGAAGCCGGTGTACAGTGGAGCGATATCCAATTCGATGCTGTATGGTGCCTTCCTTGGTGGGAGGGAATTGATGCAGTCGATCTGAAGCCGGGAGAAGGGCAACATTTGGAGAGGCTGGTAAGCAATAGCGAAGCCTCGAACGATTCTATCAAGGAAGCCGAAACAGTACCCGACCAGCACATCAAGGCACTGAAGGAGCTTTTCGAGCAGAAGCTGTCGGGCGACAACCGATACCACGAATCTCTCACCCAGCTGAAGGAAATGGCAGAAATGCTAGATGGATACCCTGTCGCCAAGCAAGACTTTGAAGATGCCATACAACCAGTTAGGGAGGCCATAGATGCCTGGCACGAGATCTTTGCGAAGATGGGAGCAAGAGAGGTGCCCATTGCAGAGGCAGATTTAGTCTCCGAATTTGCCAACGCCATCAGCCCCTTCCTTGGTCTACCGGCAGATTCCACGAAGTGGGTAGACTTTTTGAGAAAGTTGATCAGACTGAAGGAATGGGATCTCATTGACAAATTCACGAGTGTCCAGGTTTATGGGATTGGTTATATGGGGCAGCTGTCAAAGACTGATCTTGATGAGGCACTCCTCGTGGTCAAGAATGAAGCCCACTTCCGATACCTCATCTGGGCGGAAAAGTTCATCAAATCTTACGAGGCCGATGACTCTGACCTCATGGACACAGAGAACCGACGCAAGGTCGATCAAAAGCCCCCCAGCGCCAAACTTGAGAAGGATGAGGATATCGTCACCGAGGAGCCAGCTCCCGAGCAACCGATTGGAGACAAGTCCCACAGCGACGACCGTGAGGATGAGGATGCCACCGCCATAGATACAAGTCTCTGGGAACCCTTCGAGGATCCTGAAATTATCGTGGATCACTCATTGCTGCCCTACAGATGGATGAGCGATTCTGAGGCTCAGGAGTATCTTCGCATCGTGGCCGAGCAGTCAAAGGAGAGCGAGAGCGAACCCACCGCTTCACAGAGCAATCCACGGACCGACGAGGCCGATGACGAGATGATCATCGATGAAGAGACACTGAACAACATGTTTGCAGGTTGGATCGGGCACATGCCCATCCCCAGAGGTCTTGACGAGGTGGAAGATGAGGAGGTGGAAGATGAGGAGGAGGAAGGTGCTGAGGAGGCGAGATGGTTCACAGAGTGAGCGACAGCACCAATCAAACAAGGGTAGATAGTCTGCGGTCCTCATTTTGGGGACAAAAGTATTTAGTCATAGAGCAATGCCTCATACCTCAACGCGTACCTTGATTCTAGCTCAGATACACTGTCAAAGTGGTTTAGCCACCGCAGTCCGCATGACACTCTATAATGGTCAACCTGTGTGTAGAGTAGTTGGTGCGGTGAACGTGGATATACACCCAATGTGCAAAGAAGCAGGCTTCGCATTGTCTACCTGAGCCCGTATGATACAACTCTCGGCATGCCTATAAGAAAGGGAAAAAAGGCCATCATAGACAAAGTTTTGAAATCTCCCATGTATCCTCCGCTGATCTTCGGTCCAAACCCCAAACTCCTATCCCATCTCCACTCGAAACCCGGTTACAGCAACATGACAGCAAACGCCGCCGCGGCGATGGAACCGAGGCCGACGGAGAGTGTAGCGGCGCCAGCCTTGGCGGGGGAGGAAGTCTTGGGTGTGCCGTTGGAAGTTCCGTTGCCGCCGCCACCCATGCCGTTTGCGTTGGTGCAGTTTCCTGCGGCGAAAGACTGCTGGGTTGATGAGAGTGTTGTGGCAAAGCTGCCGGCAAGTTGGCTGGCGACGGACTGAACGCTCTGGGGCACCTTTGTGACGACAGTGTCGATGAGCTTCTTGGCGCCATCGCCAACGGAGCCTACTTGTGAGGAGATGATGCCGCAAAGGCTGGCCTTCTCGAATTCGGGCTTCTTCTTCTCGAGGTTCTTGGTGAGGGCGTTTCCATCGCTCTGGAGTCCAGAGACGAACTGCTGGAGCTGAAGGGCCTCATTGAGAGTGATCTCGCTCGTGCCCATGACCTGCTGGGTGCCCTGGTTGAGGGTGTTGGTGAAGGCGCCAGCGGCACCGGCGAGGCCGCTGAGGTCACCGTTGAAGCCCTCCACAGCCTTGTTGAGGTCCTTCAGTGAGTTACCGACTTGTTGGATGACGCCCTGGATGGTGGCCAGGTCACGCTCGGCGACGACCTTGGTGGGGGGCTCGGCGAAGACGCCCATGGCCAGAGTGAGGAGAGTGATCTCGGTGGTGAGCTTCATCTTGTCGGTCGAGGATACCGGGGTTGTGAATGTGATTTGAGGTGGTGATGATCTTCCGGAGATTCAGATATATAGCGTACGGTGGGTATATCGACGTGTTTGGCCAGCAAGCATGAAAGAATTCGACGGTAGGAGAGAGAAGAAGGATCTCGGAGGCTTATAGACTGGCACAGACTAGATCAGACCCTCACATACGGGAGGGGCAAAACAACCTTCGCACAGACGGTAACATTATATGAAATCTCAGCTCATCGACTTCCCAAAAGCGTAATCCGTCTCACAAGTTGCTCACGGTTCACCCCCGTACCTATTTACCCACCTTCATACGGTTTGGGGGAGTGGGAGGTAGAGGAGGGGGCGAGAGGCCCGAGGAAGAAGATTCGACTCGACGCTTCTTCTGGCCCTCCATCAGCCGGGGCATGCCTCTGGCCATTATTCGCATTGACTGCTGTCTTTGTACTTGACGTCAATGCATGGATCAGGATGAGTACCTGGCACGTCAGGCCTACTCAGATTCGAGGCGGGATGGGATATGAATGACTTTGTTCGGCCACTCGCATCGCGCGAATCGGCGTGACCCGCATCCCATTGCCGATGGATGAACCTTTGAGGTTGATCGTCAACATGGGGGATGGCATCCTTGTTTAAGGTCCGGCGCTTATTTCATACAAGCTCGACGGGTAGCCCGCAAATTTGACCCATACATGCGGGTTCGGGCAATATTGACAATATACCTGGCCTTCCATCAAGCCTCACTTTCTCTATGATGGAGGCTGTGCAATACCTTAAACCCTCAAGCTATCTATGCGTTGCTCGACTGATATTTGAGGCGCGGGGCATCGTCTTCTCTTCGACATTCTCACTAGCCAAGCCTCCTCGAATTGCCCCTCAACCAAACAACCAGCACCACCACCGGGCGGCGGTGCTATTTTAAAACAAAGATATAAAACGGATTCGTCCCCGAAGCTGGGGTGCTAAACACTCTCCAGCCCATGAGCCTCCCCCTCCCAGGCACAGCCTGACACGACGTCGCTCGCCGAAGTGAAACGTGAAACGTGCGGACGGATCCCTGCTCAACTCTCTTCCCGCGCTGGCGGATCTGGCGATCCCCCACAGCACCACTACCAAAGAAGACAGACCTCTCGCTTGTGAACTTCCGACTTGCTTCGCTGCGGATTCCTCTCCGGGCCTCTGATAGGAGAAAAGTCCTCGAGATGTTGACGGGGGTTTGTTGGGGTCACCCAGGCCAGCCGTCGCAGGATTTGTTAATGAGAGCGGGATACGCCGGCAGAGGTCAGACCGTTCGTCGGTGCGAGCTTATTTCTTTCTCGGTCGGCCGGCCATCTGCCTTATGTGTGAAGGGTCTCTTCAAGGGTCCTATCAACCTGTTTTCAGGCCTCTCCTCATTCTCGAAGCGATAATATACGTTGAATATCGCACGTTCTTTAAGCCTGATGGCAGATGACCGACCGGTTGATTGACATAAAGAACGGGCCGTCTTTGGCGTCTTCACGATTGCATAGCTTCATGTGCGGCACTGACGATAGCCTAGCGTGTGTAAGTCAGTGCCAGTCAAAGTCTGCCTTCCACACGGCCTTCCACACAAATTTGGGTTAGATGAAAAGCCTAACGTGAGGTGACGCCCGGAAATAAAACTCAGGTAGAGTGCAATCCGAGACCCGCGAATCAGGAGTGTCCCACGAGTCGATTCAGGAAACACACGATTCACTCCCGCGGCCCGGCGAACGAAGCCAAGATTCTTTTCGCACGACCTCGAGCAGTTTTCGCGAAGACTGGTAGTGGTGTGCAGTCTCGTATGAACTCGTCTTTTTACTCTCCCGCAGCCCAGTGGGTGTGGCCAGGCGGTGAACCACTTACACGACAGCTTCTACGGCCGTGGGGGTGGCTGGGGCAAGAAGATTGACTGGAACAAGAACCGTAATCGTAGCCGAACCGCGCCAATGTGTCTCGAGTCTCGGCAAGAGAACCTCCCCAGTAGTCTGCAGGAGAGGGAGGGAGACTCAATAATCTGAACCTTTGGTGCGAAGAATGAGGGGGAAAAGATCTTTGTACGAGTATCAGAGTCCAGGTGAAACGAGGCGCGGCTCAGGCCACATTTCCCACGGAGACACGAAGCGATCAGAGTGCCTGTGGTTGAGAAAACTTCCGACTTTCGGCCGACTCTGCCGCGCTAGAAACGCGAGAGGGGAAGGGATGAGTCGATGGACTGGATTCCGGATCTGCAGCACCGTACGCACGGCGCGTCAAAGTGTTCGTGCCAGCGGCCATCGCTTGTCACCATCGTGTCAGTCTACGAGATTCAAACCTGTCATGCCTTGTTCAGCTCCGCGCCCCCTTCGCATCGAGACGGCCAAAAAGGGAACCTGTTCCTGTTTGTTGTTGGTTTCTTGGGCATCCTGTGTCGTTTCTGGTATATCAAATCCCGTCTCGGTCTCGCCTCGATACTTTTCGCGGGCTTTATCCATGTTTGGTTCGCAAGTCAGTAGCGTAGCATCCTGTCTAAAAGATGTTACAGCGCTAGTCCTGGTACCGAGGTCTGAATGAACTGAAGCTCGTGGGTGGTTCTTCCAGTTTTCTAGAATGCTACTTCCGAGACGGAACCTCTTCGCCGCCGATTAGTTTTCGGCTTGAGCCCGGGTGTCCGGCCGTGGAGCCGGCTCCTGGAAGCCGAAGCGGGGATCTGCGACCGGAAAGCCCCCATTTAAGAAGCAGACAGCCAACCAAGAGGTACTTTTAATCCCACTAACCAGGGTCGAGTCTCCTCTCCAAATATATTTCTTCCCTGGGTTTGTTGATCACCAGACCCACAAAGTCATCTCGGCGTTCTCTGATCTGCCAGTTATGTACCCCGCACTGCAATCTCTAGAGTATCTTGACAATGATACGGGCTTATCGGTGAAATTGCTTCTTCGCCGGCATTCAAGAGCGAAGAAGGACACTCACCTCGGCCTTCTGCTACTGCCCCGGATCATCCGTTGAAGACCGGTGCAGGGCTAGGTATCTGAACAAACTTGAAAGAAGTTCATCAAGTGATCATATGCGATGTAACGTGATAAGATGCGAGATAGAGACGCAATAAAGAGTTCTCAAGTATGAGAGTGTGCCAGCGCCTATGGATGATTTCGCAGGAATCTTGTTGATTCATTCTCCCTCGTGAATTGTGTACGCGAATGAAGATGAGGGTAACTGCTGCTTTTCGGACTGCCTCATTGGCATTAACTGCCTCCGCGGTCCAGCCCTGGCTCGACAAGACACTTCCTTACGAGGAACGCCTCCTTTCTTTCATAACCCAGCTCAATGAAACCCAAAAGTATGCCATGGTTCAAGGCGATACCGAAGTCAGACTTCCAACTCCACATTGTCCGTGCACAATGAGAGAGCGTATGCTGATACTCCAGTCCCATAGCTAACAGATAATGGAACCGGCGTGAACGCCTGCATCGGACACATTCAAGGAAACTCATCTCTCGGTATTCCCGGTATCTGCATGGGCGATGGGCCTGCCGGAGTCGGCAACTCGCTCGATAATGTGACCGCTTTCCCAGCTCCGGTTGTCGCGGCAAGCTCCTGGGACCCGTCGATACAGTATGAGTTTGGCCAGGCACTCGCACAAGAGCACATGGGCAAAGGCCGCAATATTGTCCTTGCGCCTACCATCAACATCCTTCGCTCTCCGTTGTGGGCTCGCGCTGCCGAAACTCTGTCCGAAGACCCCTGGCTGACCGCACGTATGGCGGTCGCCGGTACGATGGGCATTCAAAGTCAAGGAGCTCTGGCGTGCCCGAAGCATTTCGCTGCGTATAACCAGGATACAAATCGTTTCGGCAACGGCCCGGAGTGGGTAACAGTCGATGCAGTGGTTGACAAGAGGACGATGCATGAGCTTTATCTACCGGCCTTCAAAGCCAGTGTACAAGAGGCAGATGCAGCGAGTGTTATGTGCTCCTACAATCGACTTAATGGCTTCTTCACCTGTGAAAACGACTGGCTCCTCGACCAGACTCTTCGTCAGGAGTGGGGGTTTGAAGGGTTTGTGGTCGCAGATTGGTATTTCTCTACAAGAAGCACTGTTGCTGCTGTCATGGCTGGGCTCGACATCTCAATGCCTGGCGGAGACTTGACGGATAGTTACGGCTTCCCTGCTTACTACGGCGAGCTACTGGTGGAAGCTATCAACAACGGATCGATACCGCATGCGCGACTTGACGATATGGTTCGAAGGGTCTGGCGGTACATGTTCAAGCTTGGACAGGTTGACTATCCGGTGACTGGTGACTCAACAGCCCATGTGCGTACCCAGGAGCATCTGGATCTCGCGCAGCGAATGGTTGAAGAGGGCGCCGTCCTGCTGAAGAATGACGAAAGTGCCCTGCCTCTCTCTCCTAGCAAATATTCCAAGATTGCTGTCTTCGGAATTGGGGCGACTTCTGAGAACCAAGTCTCTGAAAACCACGGCGGCTTTGTTATTGACTCTACCATGGTCGTTCAAGCACCTTTCGATGCGATTAAGCGCCGAGGAGATGCAGAGAATATTACAGTCAAGTACTCCTTGGCGTACCCTGGTACTGGACAGTTTCCCACAATTCCGTCAAACATGTTCAGAGATGGAGGCGTCAACGTGACGTACTACAAGACAACCGATTTCACCGGACCTATAAATACCACCGAATTCGTGCCCAACATCACCATTGCTACATACCCGTCAGAACTTTGGCAAGCATTTCCGGACGTTTTCTCGGCTGTTTACGAAGCGGTCTTTCTTCCAAATACGACAGGAATGTACCATTTCTCCATGTATGGTCAGGGTACCGCGCTGCTGTACTTGGATGACAAGCTTATAGCCAACATGTCCTATGCTAATTTCGGAAACTGTATTCAAGGCGCAGCGTATCTCGAGGCGGGAACCCAGTGCAAGCTTGTGCTAAAATACGACATGGGATACTCCTTGTCTACTGGTGCATATGGAATCACTCTTGGAGTTGATATTGGCTCCCAGACCCGAGTCATAGAGGCCGATGAGCTGGCCGAGTGGGCGGATATCAGCATCATCTTCGCCTCAGATCGGATATCTGAAGGGGCTGATAGCGGCCTTGGACTCTCTCTACCTGGTGACCAGGACGCCATCATCAGTCGGCTCGCCAGTATCTCCAACAAAACCGTTGTGGTCTTGAACACAAACTCGGCAGTTCTGATGCCTTGGATCGAGCAAGTAGAAGGCGTCATGGAGATTTGGTATCCTGGCCAACAGGTCGGGCTTGCGTTAGAGCGTCTTCTATTCGGCGATGTAAGCCCGAGCGGGAAGTTACCCTTGACCTTCCCCAAGAGGCTCAACGATACCATACGCATCAGTACCGACATCGAAGTGCCCTACGAAGAAGGACTCTATGTGGGGTACAAGGCTTATGACCAGAGCGGCATCGAACCTTTGTTCCCGTTTGGACATGGCTTGACATATTCCAACTTCAGTCTATCCGGATTGGAGGTATCATCAAATGACAGCGCTGTAGTCGCCAGAACGACCTTGTTGAATCAAGGAGACAGCAAGGCCAAAGAGGTCGTTCAGCTTTATGTTGGATTTCCGGATGCTGCGAAAGAGCCACCAAAGTTGCTCAGGGCTTTTCAAAAAGTCGAGGTCCAAGCGATGGAGACCCAGGCTGTGGAGTTGTTAGTGAAGATTGAGGATCTCAAGGTATGGGATGCGTTGACTGAGGATTGGATATTTGTAGACGGTCAGTATGAAATACTCGCGGGATTCTCGGCGGGAAATATTCTGGAGAGACAGGTGGTGGAGTTGAGCCGAGGCTAGAAGAGCCTTTCCCCCGAGAGTTGATAGGGTTGATGATGACACTAGAATCAACAAGGCATGACTCGACATCTTAATCGAATACCATGAATTAGGACTTTGTTCTACAGAACGTGATCACTTCTATATCTCCTTCATTTGCCACGTTCATGATCTTACGGTGACACCTTTCTCGTGCCCCCCCCCCCCCTTCCTCACCTATTGACGACTGAGGTACTTCCCGCCCAAACACCATCATCGTATGTAGGGCTACCGATCAGATAGATCGCATATAAATAGGGATAAATAAACAAGTGGTAGCTACAACGACTCTTCTCGTCCTTAGTAAGACCTGTATCAACAACTGAGTACTAGCGATACTCCCCTCCGCAGTCTCCCATCGCCTCAAACATCTCCAACCTCCTACTCCTCTTCAATACGTCTTCAATAAAGTCTCGGTCTTCCTGGCTTAGAGACCATCCCAGACTCGCCAGATTCTCATCCGCGCGCTCGCTGATGCCCATCCGAGTGCCAACAATGACTGCACCAACATAGGGGAAGTCCAACACCCAGCGAGTGGCCACGTTGGAAACGCTGACGCCGTACCTTGATGCTACCGTCTTAAGCACCTTCAAGAGATCTTGAAATAGATCCCAGCCTCCCCAGCTTCGGATCATAGCGTAGTACTTGCGCTGGCTAGGCGTAATCGCCTCGTCGTAGAGATCCGGCTGCCCTTTTCCTAGCCACTTCTCAGCGAGGAACCCACCGCACTACATCAACAGCCATCAGCCTTCAAGCGACTTAGTAACACCAGTCCCTTCATTCAGCTTACCAGTGTTCCGTAAGTCAGGAGTTTGATATTATGTTCCTGGCAGACCTTGCCCATGCGGACCTCGGGTCTACTATCGATCAATGAGAACTAGAAGCCATCAATGTCAGCCCCTCGCCTTTTTCATCGGCGGGGGTCCAGCATACCTGCACTTGATTTGAGTGAATTTTGATGCCTCTATCAATGGCGACTTGCATATGCTCGGTGTCAAAGTTGCAAAGCCCCAGGGTCTTGACGCGCGGGTCTTCTTCGAGAAAGCGCAACGCCTTTACGTACTGAGGGTCTTCATACTGTCAAGAAACATCAGCTTGTGATGCCTGGGAAATCGGACAAGTCTGAACGGCTTAGTACTCACAAATTGCCAATGGAATTGGAGCAAGTCGAGCTTGTCTGTCTGCAATCTTCGGCACCTTTCAGCGACGTTGGCTTGCACGGCGGCACGCGTCACGGTCATTGGGTTGAAGACACAGTACTTGGTCGCTGCGAACGTCAAGTCGCTGAAGGGATACGACGAACGGAAACGACCCTGACTCGATTAGCAAGACTCTTTGAGGGGAAGAACACCATGATGAGACTTACAAAGATGATTTCTGCATCACCGTAATGGTCCGCCATATCGAAAGCTGTAAGGCCTGCTTCCATGTGCTTGGAGAACTGGGCAATGATCTTGGATGTAGGGGCCGAGCCCCAAGATGGACTAGACATTTGCCAAAGTCCGGTGAATAATCTAGGCAGTCTAAAGCTGTTCATCTCAAACAACTCCTTCGCATCTACAGAGCCTGGAAGGGATGCACCCAGACCCGATGAACCGATTGAAGGCATATCGAAGACTGGAAGTGGCACTCCAAGAAGCATTGAAGTCGCGAAAAGTGCTCTTGTGTAGGGATATTCCAATTCCTTCTCTTCTATGATGGCTCTGCACTCGATAAGGGCCTCGTGGAGATTGGTCACGGCGTCGCGCTCGTCGTCTTGGAGATTTTCGCGCGCAGCAGCGAGCAGCCTTTTCTCAACGGCGGTCATAATTTGAACAATATCGCCATCAACGGATGCAAGAACAGCAGTTGTTTCCTCTTTGGTAGTCTCTGGATCGACGAGAAGCTTGATGCCGCCCCTGACTACCCTGGTCATGAGCGAAATGCTCTCAAGACTGAGCCCGCATCCTAACATGCAACGAATTGTCGCCTGAGTCTTTCTCAAAGTTGCTTCCGAAGACAACTCTCCTTGAGCTGACGGTAAAGCTACATCTCTGACATAAGTTCGGGTTTCGGCCTCGAAAGTTGTGGTAATGTCCGGGTGCGTGGCCAACAGCGAGCGCATGATCACCCGTAGGTTCTCAGCGGGGAGGTTTGTGATGATGGTGTCCGTCATCATGTTGACGTGCGCCGTCTTGGCGCTTTGGCCCTCTGCATTCGCCGCCATTTCGTTTTTTTTTTTTTGTCTTTCAGAAAGTAAGAGACTATGATTCCTGAATGTCTTTTTGCAAGATCGAAGTCCTATCTTCAGCCTTCAGTTTTGACGGCTTGCATGTGTACAACAAAATGGACGATGCCGCTACAGGGCTACAAGCTGAACCCTGTTTTCGAGCTAGCACCCGCCGGCATTCATCTCAACTATCCGAAGCCATCGGCGACCAACGAGTCTGACGGTAGCTTGCCGGCTCATTACTCGGTTATCTTTACCCACGCCAGACCACAGGGAACGGTGGGGAGAAAAGTGGGTGAAGATAGGGAAAGAAATCCGAGGATTCATAGCACCCCCGAAGCCGGCGAATTCCCTCCCTTAACCTTATCATGTCCAACTGACGGCCATCCTTAGTGTGGATTGCAGGGCTGGTGGCCGGCAATCTACCAACAGTAAAGCAGCATGCACGATGGAGCATGCCCGAGCATCGCCATCCCTCAAGCCCGTGTAAGATTCAGCGGTCTGTGATGCCAGTAACGCCTTCCCCGACTGACAGACATGACTTCGACTAGTTCCAAAGCATGCCTTCAATGCAGGAGTGTCAAAATGAAATGCATCACTACGGGTGATGAGACGATTTGTGATCGGTGTACCCGGAAGTCATTAAAGTGCATCTTCCAAGATCACCGCCGGGGAAGAAAACCAGGGACTCGGTGCGTACCATCTGAAGCGACAGTGATATATAAGTTAACAATTGAAAGAATTACTTCCAAACGCAAAGCCCAAGCCCCAACGGCAACAGCCACTTCTTCCCAGCCAGTACAACAAAGACAGGTTGAAGAGAGAAGTGGACAGACGCAGGCAATTCAACGAAGTCCAGATTGGAGCAATGGAAGCCTGCAGCCTGCTGGGCTCTTCAATCGTGCAGCCACTCGCGGCAGTTTTTCACTTGGGAGCATACTGAATGCTTCAGAATCAACCACTTCAGAGCTACAACAAGAAGAGTCGTGGATCCCTGCAGATGATCCAGTTCAGCTTGGTCTCCTCAATTCGTCCATCGCTTCGTCCCTATTCGAAAAGTGAGTCCCTGAATGCCAACGCACCTATTCCATGCCTGTTCCTAGCTTCTCATTTCCACTCTCGCCACAGGAAGACGAAATAGTAATCCGAGAACAGTTTCATGGAATCTCTCAATCCATACATAAGTCAATTGGACCCGTACCTGCACACCTTCAGCCGGATCCGACGAGATTCTTCATTCCTTCTCACGGCAATCCTAGCCGCAGCCGCAAAAGCATTTAATCCTGCTTTATACAGGAAACTCCGCGACCATGCAGATGATATTCTTGCCTCCACTTTTAGGAAAGGGACCAAGTCAGTTGAGACTGCTCAAGCGGTGATGATTTTGACCTATTGGAAAGAGTCTGAAGACACGCGTGCCTGGATGCTCTTAGGATATGTGATTAGAATGGGCATGGAACTGGGCTGGCATCGGCTCGCTCCTTATTCTTCGCAATCGAGCGCGACCACGGATTTGGAGAGACGTCAAGCTAGGAATATCGAAAGAACTTGGCTGATTCTGTTTGTTTACGATCGAAGGTAAGATGGAGACCAAGACTAGGTGAAACTGGTGGCCCGAAGGCTAATAGGGCGTAGCATGAGCCTACAGACCGGAAAGCCATGGATGATCGAACGAAGCGAGTTCATCGAATCTATTGAGCCATGGTGTAAAGATGCAAGGGCCACTCCTGGCGACCGCCTGCTCGGTGCCCTGGTAACACTACGACTGTTGAGTTCGGAGGTCTTTCGGCTACTAGGACCAAGGTCAAGTCGAGTTCGCGCAAGGCAGTTACACAGCCTAGAATCTCTCCTTGCAATCATCAAGAGCAGAGTCGAGGAATGGGAGTCGAGGTGGCTCAGCGTAGCAGATACAGGTATGCCCCAAATCCGCCCCTTGGAAGTTAGCTGGCTAAAGCTTTCAAGTCTCAGACAGCTGCCATCCTTTTTTGATCCAGTTCTATGGCACACATCTCAGGTTGCAGCTGTTCTCTTTGCCATTACAGGACATCTTGGCACAGTCGGACCAGCACATGACGTACCATATGGAGGCTCTTTGGGTCAGCTACTCAAGTGCCCTGGAGATGCTGCATCTCATCTGCCGTCACTCCTCTTGGCTTTACTTTGCCCAGGACTCTGTTCATGTGATGACTGCCTATAGTGCAGCATTCTTGATCAAGGTAAGACCGTTTTGAAACTTTCTACTTGTCTTCTTTATTTGAAGCCTGACTGGTATCTAGCTCATGTTATCTACGTCGCACTCCATCGCAAGCCAAATTCAACCAGCCATTCAAAGTGCAATCTCGGGCGCAGCCTTGGTTTTCTCCCAGCAAGCTGCACCGCCGGGCTCGAGCTGCGCACTCCAATCAAGGTTTCTCGATAACATATCGGCTAGAATCTCCAAGCCCTCGGCCGAGGCGTCGACGGCAACGGCTCTTCCAGAGCCTCACGACCAGCTTCGGGCTGACGAGCGGGTCACGTCGCGCGAAATCGGATATACCGCGGCCCCAGGCCGAGCTTTTACCCAGGCGGAAGGCGCACTGAATTTGGACTTTGCAGACGATGAAACCTGGGTTGAACTTATGGCTGAAGCTGGGTTTAATGCTCAGGATGGTGTGTTTTTTGCTTAAACATGGCCAAGTCCACGGTGGGGTAGAGTACACGGGTCTCTGTAAGCCTTCTACTTAGGCGCATCGATGTTGTTCAAAGGAACGGCAGTGGTTTCTGAGTGACGGAACGTTCTGATGCCTTCTCGGACAATCTTCAGTTGGGAAGGACAGCAGGGATCCGGGCATGCGATCAACGCATCGGTCGTCATCCAGTCGTTCTTGGCAGTTACGCGTTGCTTTGCAGCGAGTAGGGGTAGCACCGATGCTGTTATTGAGAATCAGCAACTGTGACTTTGGAGTAGATACGAGTTGGTATTCAACGTACACAAGCTGTATATGCTAATGCCTTGGTCTGGTGGCAGATACAACATCTCGCCTTTCAGCGTGAAGTAATCCCCTTCTTTGGCGCCACACATGATCCTCTTGCCTGGAGGACAGACGACCTCAACCCGCAGGTCGAATAACTGGAAGGCGTCCTCGGGACTTGAAGACGAAGTGGATGTCATAATGCTTGACCTAGTTAGAGTCTTATCGTCGGATGCCCTTCGACCGGGCTGTCGAGGCATGGATCGCGTTCTCCAGGCTTTTTATCCAATCTTTGAAGCCGTTCTATCCCCGCACTCACAAGCACCGGAGCTTATCAACCGGCGTCTCAAGCCGAAGCTTGATCCCGGCACCGGCGAGTTAAAGTCGATCATTAACATCGGCCCAGTGCCCGATTGGCTGCGGAGTTGCGCCTATCCTATGACCCTGAATGGCAGCTCCGGGGGGCGTTATCAGGACCGATTTTGGGTGCTTGCACTGGTGTTATTCATTAATGTTGATTAACCCACTCAGTGACTCGGATGAAGTCGCAACGAGATGCATCCGTAAGCTACAACGGATATATGTGGCCATTTTGTTTGAGCCCTAAAGACCCTCCTAATCGCATTCAACTCCTTCATCATGGAGGGGAAGGAAAAGGACGAGACCACTATTGGTGCAACTCCCGAAGTGGACTCCGGCTCCGGCCAGAGCGCCTCGATTCCCGGAGATGGCGAGGGGATCAGGCGGGACTTGGAGTCCCGGCATATCAACATGATTGCAATCGCGGGAATGATCGTGAGTCTATCCAGCATGGCATATTCGTTGAAATGGTCTGTCGTCTAACACTGAACCAAGGGAACGGGGTTGTTTCTCAGTTCCGGTACAACCATTGCCACAGCAGGCCCCGCCGGGGCACTTCTGGCTTACATCGTTATGGGGCTCGTCACCGCCGGCGTCTCGTACACGACTGGGGAGATCACGTCCTTCATGCCGTCGACTGGTGGTTTTATTCGACATGCGACAAAGTTTGTTGAGCCAGCGCTCGGTGCAGCCACTGGTTGGAACTTCTGTAAGTTGAAGTGCATGGCTACTTTCTTAGTTGTAGAGTGTTGACTTGGGAATAGGGTACACCATGTCGATTTCCGTTCCTGCTGAGATCAGTGCCGCTGCAACTTTGATTCAGTTCTGGAACACATCCGTGAACCCCGGGGTTTGGATCACAATCTTTCTAGTCTTCATCATCACAGTCAACTTCTGCGGCGTCCGACTATACGGTGAAGTAAGATACCCCTCTTCACCGCAAGGAGCTCTTTGACTTACAAATTCGACAGACCGAAGTCGTGTTCGCTTCTCTGAAGATCATGACCATCATCGGCCTCATCATTGGCGGCCTGGTTATTGATCTTGGTGGAGGACCTAACGGCGATCGCATAGGCTTCCGATATTGGCAGGATCCTGGGGCTTTCAACAGCTACCTGGTCACAGGCTCATCTGGCAACTTTCTGGCTTTCTGGAAAGTCCTGCTCTCGGCAGCCTTTAGCTACGGCAACATTCAAGTTGTCGCGATTTCTGGTTCTGAGACTCGCCAGCCGAGGAGGATCATCCCGGCAGCCACGAGGAAGACTTTCTTCCGCGTGTTTTTCTTCTACGTTCTTAGCATTTTGATCGTGGGAATGATCGTGTAAGAAGCTCATATCTACGGAAGAACGCTACTTGAGGGTCTTTCTGATGAAAATCTAGGCCATCCAATGACCCATCACTCAGCATCTCGACCGGAACCGCCCAGCAGTCTCCCTTCGTCATCGCCTTCACCCGCTCCGGTGTCTCGGTGTTGCCGTCAATCATCAACGCTGTGGTCTGCACTTCAGCCATTAGCAGCGGTTCCGCCTGCGTCTTCATCGCGTCTCGAACCCTCTACGGCCTCAGTTGCGATGGCCACGCGCCCAGGATCCTTCAGCGCTGTAACAGGTTCGGGACACCTCACTACGCGGTGGGGCTGACCTGCGTCCTCATGCCGCTTGTCTATCTCAATGTGGCCAACAACACCTCTGTCGTCTTTGGCTGGTTTGTCAACATTACAACGGTTGCCGGTCTAATCGGTTGGATCGTGATTGAGATCACGTATCTCCGGTTCTTCGCTGGGCTCAAGGCACAAGGCTACTCTCGGAATGGTAAGAGACCCTTCGTGATGGCCGTCCACTATGCATGCCAAGCTTACACCTTTAAACAGAGCTTCCATACAAGGTTCCTGGTCAACCCTACATATCATGGGTAACCTTGGTGATGGTTGTCCTTGTTGTCTTCTTTTCAGGTAAGTCTCTACATCTATTCATGTTACTATTGCAGTACCTTGAGTCATTCCCAACTCACACCATCATCCAGGCTTCGACGTCTTCACAACCGGGAACTTTACCGCCTCGGGGTTCTTGACATGCTATCTCAATGTCTTCATCTTTGCAAGTGAGTTGCCTGTTCCTTTCATCAACATCGTGATCATAGTCTAATGCTCTGTCTAGTCCTGTACATCTTCTTTAAGTTCTACCTCAAGTCCCGAGTGATTCCAGCAAGTGAGATGGACTTTGAAACGGAATTTGCGTCAATCCGCCACGAGAAGGCACAAGAAGAGGTGTACGAGCCTGCAAAGTCGGGGTTCAAGCATTCGATTCGTAGGATAATCCACGCTGTGTAGGTATAGAACTCAAGACGGGAAAGCAAATAGGCATTGCTCAAGGTAGACACAATGATTAATGACGAGTGAACATACTACAGGAACCAGTAGTACTATCATGCTACACTGCAATGATATCAAAGCTCGTGCTGACCTATTTGGGACTTGTCTTAAGAACCCCAGTGATGTACCCCATTCTGGCTTCCGCTCAGCGGCCCAGAGTACCGTGTTCGGGAGAGGCCGGGCTAGGTCCCAACCAAGAATGACATCTCTTGCTAGACCAAATGAATACGGCCTCTTTCAAGAAGCTAGGATTTGGTGTGCCCCAAAGCCGGCGCTCCACCTGGACATTGATGGCATTGACATCTCTTATGCCTGTCGAGCTGGCGAGGAATTGCCTTTCTTTCGACTTTCCATGAAAGGCGTCGCGCTGGATGTCCCAGTCGGTCCTCCGGGCTTACAGCGATGCGACCGCCCTAGATCTGAGCCCAGAATCGTCGCCGGACGCAGTCCGGAAAACAGACGTCGAAGAAGGCAAATCATGCAAAGCAATGCCGCCAGCCACAACATCTGAGCCTGGCGTCTCCTCCTCACTCGACCTCCCAGCCTCTTCCCTCGCCCGCAACCTCTTCCTCGCCCAGGGCAACAAGTTAAAGTACCCGCCACACGCAAACACCCCGCACCAGAGCACAAACTCAGTCGCATAGATGACGACCCCCAGCACATCAAGCCGGCGCTGGAAAAAGAGGGACGCGAGAGAGAACACGTCCCCCGCGGCGTCGATGCCGACAAAGATGAAGGATATGCCGCGCACGGTGCGGTGGAGGTAGATGTCCCAGTAGTGCCGGAGTACCCCGGCGGCCAGCAGGGCAGCGGAAAGCGAGGCCATTAGGATCATGGGCCATTCTGTGCCGCGGGCCTTGACGATGCGAAGGCCGATGATGAGAGCGACTTGGATGCCGGCCATAGCGGCTGCGATGGGGGCTACAACGGCGAGAGAGCGGAGGATGGACCAGTTCTGGATGCGATGTCAGTTAGATAGGCGAGTTGCGGCAAGCATGAGGAAAATGGTACTCTTTGGTAGTAAAAGCACTGAATCCAAGTAGCGAGACTCAGAAACGTGAGGATCTGGGGCTGAATCTGTAGGGCAATGTTGAAGTCTTCGACGATGTTGTAGACACCTAGTGGAACGCCGGCCCATGCCCAAAGCATCATCATCGAGGGCTGCAGACCGGTGGCATTATGGCGCCTGTAGTTGATGACAATTTGTGGGATGAGCTAGGCAACGGTCAACCGTCAGAACTATTGACTCAGAATTGAGAGTGAACAAGACGCACCTGAATAGACCAGCAGACCTGTGAAGTGTGAGTTGAATTCCATCTCTACATGTCGTGATGATGGGATGAATTAGGTACTTACTGCCCCAAGTGTGCCGAGGGCATTGGCTGCGGCTGGTATGTCCATGATAATGTAAAGACACTCTCCACGTTTCTCCAAGTGCTACCGATGCTAGTCGCGATGACAATTAAAAGACAGAGTATATGTTAATCGCGACAGAATGAGCTCGTCATCAACATAAGAAGCCTACAGTACTTAGTTGTCATTTGAATGATAGTGGTGATGGTGCTGAGGCATCCATCCGTTATCGGCGATATACGGGAAATGAGTTTAACGGAACACATGGATAGCCCGTCGGCACGAAAAGCAAAAATAAAGTTTCTTCTCCCCTTCCAGAATCGAACTAGAGACCTTTCGATGACAATGTAACCATTACAGTCGAACGTGATGAACCAACTACACCAAGGGGAGGATCGGAGCTAAGGCTTCGCTTGGTATATCCGAACTTCACTTTTGATTGACTAAGTATCTTAGATGATCCTATTGATTGTGTAACTCAAACGAAAATCCTCATCCGAACTTTTGAACTAGACAGGCTCAGTTGTTTCTATTGCTTAGATTGTTTACGCCATTAGTCCATTGTCTCTTTAAGCACCAGCCAAAGTCTCGATAATCCAGCTGCGACTTGTTATAAGGATGGAAAGCCAACTAAGAAATCTTTGATTAAACCCAAGTAATCGTTACCCAGTCTTGTACAGTACTCCATCATGAATAATCCTACACCCCGTTTTCGTACATATTAACTCAACAATTTTCCATTCTTACTCGTCCCACTCGATTCTCATCGTCGTCGGCACAGGCCAGTATGAGCTCTGATCAGCCGTCATGAAGGTACGCAGGCCCAGCCAGGGCTCATCCTTCTTGCCGGCGCCGTTCTGGTTGCTGCCAACAGGGAGACCAACCTGGCCGGGCCAAGCACCGGCAGGCATGTTCTTGAGCTTACCACGTCCTCCGTTCCCGGTGGACGTCTTGTCGGCTCTCCTCAGTCCCTTGAGTCCGACAATCTGCTTGAATAGACTCGTCTGCGCCACACGGCTGATCTCCTTACCAGCACACCAATGGGGGCCGAGACCGTAGTGGACGTAGGACTCGAGAGGGCGGTCGAGGCGCACTTCGTTAGGGGCCTCGAAGATAGTCGGGTCGCGGCCGGCCGTCATCAGGTTGCACAGGACCTTTTGACCCTTGGGGATCTTGACTTCGTACTTGGTCCCGTCGATATCGTCGTTGATCTTGGGCGTGCGCGAGGTCGGGTCATTGGGGTCGAGTAAGCAAGGAGCGTAGTCGGTAATGACCTGGGTAGTAACGGCCTCACGGTAAACGGCGACGGTGCCACGGAGTCTGCAACCCTCGAGCATGCTGAGACAAAGTTAGAGGAGCTTTCAACATGAAGAAAGTGTTGGGTTTGGACTTACTACTTCATCAACTTCTCATCCGCCTCAGGAGTGTCCTCATGAGCCAGCTTGTAAAGAGTCTTCAGGTGGTCGTGGCCCTCGCCGAGGTAGTAGTCGATGCAAAGAGCCATGACTTGCGACTGGTTCGTAACATTGGCGGTGACGACAGGCATGATGGTGCCCCAGACGACCTCTTCAATATCCTTGCCGTCAGCAAGAAGGCGCTCAATGAGATGGTTTCCAAAGGTGGGAAGCGAGGATTCTCCCTCTCTGATCTTGGCGACAATGTCCGTGATCAAGCCAGCCTTCGAGATGGTCAGGCAGATGAGGCTCATGAGCTTGCCCAAGCCTTGGCCGAGCTCTCGCGCGATCGTCCGCAACTTGAAGCTGTTGCCAATGTCGGCATCCAGGAAAACAGACTGGAAAAGAGTGGCGACAACCACATACAACTCCTGGTCAGTGTAAACACCCCATGGCGAGTCCTCATTCTTGATGGGCAGGTGGAAGAGGGCGGCATTGAATCGTGTGTTTGTCAGGTTGATGACGTCTCGAACAAGGTCAACTTCCCTGACGCCCTTCCTGATGGCGAAGCTGTTCTGCTTCAGTAACCGCGGCGTCGTGTGAGTGTACCACTTAAAAACTTCCTTCTCCCAAGGACCCGTGATCAAAGCCTTTCTGACCAGTGTGCGGTTCTGTGTGTTGGCCTTGCCATCACCCGCCAGGCAAAAGTCCTTGCCGTGCTCCTTGCCAGGCTGAGCGACCAGGTGACGGATGGCATCGCCCCAGACAACTTTGAAGTCTGTCTGGTTGTACAGAATCTCGCTGACAGCCTTGTGAGAGAAAATGGGAATCATGCTGCGCTTGGTGACTGGCTCCTTCCAGGAGTAGAGGTAGGCCCTGTTGATGTCCTCGAGAATCTTCTTATTCTCGGAGGGCACCGTGAGAGGGAAGTGGGCGTAGACGCTGTTCTGCTCAAATGAGTTGGGGAAAGCGCGGAACACCAGCTTGTACAGAACATGGCTCTGGTCAACGTTGTGATCGTAGCTGCACTGGTTGAAACTGTTCAAAAGTCAGTGGCTGTTTGGCTGCATCTGCGCGACAGAGAAAAAAAAGAGAAAACGTACCCCCAGTTGGTCAGGTTCTTTGGCGTGTAGTCAATGGTGTAGAATCGGTCGCCACGAACCAGGGCAACGGCGTCAGACAAGATAGCTCTGGTCATGGTAAAGCCGCCACACAAACCACTTCCTGGGGACATGGGCTCCTTGGCCTTCTCAGCAACCAATCCAGGATACAGCTCAACCTGGTCTGGAGTACCATAGAGGTATCGCAGCTTCTTGACGACTTCGGGGTCCGGGTTGATATCCTCGAATGTCGGATGTCTGGTGAGGCCGAAGTGATCACGGAATTCGTTGAGGGTGGCAACATTCCACTTTCGCGCGTTCATCATACCGAGCACCTCGATCGGCTTCATGATCTCGGGAATTCTGTTCGCGCCGTAAGAGCCAGCAACATCCTCAACGGACTCCTTGAAGATCTTGACCAAATCCTCTTCGCGGTAGGCACTATCCTTGCCACGCTTCAGGCCGGCGAAGTCACGCTCGAGGGGGTCATTACTGATACGTCCCTCCCAGTCCCTCACAGCGTGGCCGAACTCCATAAGACTGTAGTCCTTGATATCCTTAGTCACTCCCTTGATCTTAAGTTGCTCGCGGAACGCCTTTTCGGTCCATTTGGCATCCTTGGGGGAAATGGTGCAATGCCATCTGTAGATGAGGTTGAACTCGACAGAGACCTGGTTTCCGGTACCCTCAGGGGTCTCGGCTCTGAGGATGCTCTTGCCCTCATTGGTACGGGGATCCAAAGCCCAGCTTGAAGGCGAGCGGTTCATGTTCAAGATGGTACGGACGTAGTCGCGGAGGACGATGCTGACGTAGAGACCGCAAGTGATGAGACGCGCTGTTTGGAAAAGGTCATTGTCAAATTTGACCCAAGCAGTCCAGTTGGCCCATTGCTTGTACTCGGGAGTGTTCGTGTATTCCTTGTAGGCTGGGGATTCAGTGTAATCGAGGTACTTTGGATGACCGACTGGAACGGCTCCCTCCGGCTCTGCTGGCTTTTTTGGGGCCTCGGCCTTGGGGTCGATGGCATCGCCGGTAGGTCTGTTGAACCGGTTGTTCTCGTTGATGCTGTAGTTCATTAGTACAAGTCCAGCTGCAGAATGGATCAACTCACCTTGCAAGCTGTGTAACGATATAATTGTGGAAGCGGTTGAACATCATCAAAAGAACACCGACACCGGGAGGGAAACCAAGGACTCTCTTGGAAGAGAACGAGTCAGGCTTGAGTCTGCCATCCAGCTTTGTCCTAACTTGATCTTGCTCTTCTTGGTTGCGACCATAGAGAGGAGAAAGGTCGAGGTAAGAGGACGTCCTGTTGATACCACTGAGGCCGTCCTATCATGCATTCGGTTAGCAACCCGAGTTGAACCAGTGCGAGGGGTAGTGTCTTACAGTCTGGAAGATATCATGAGTGATGATGGTTGCAAGGTAAAAGAGGAAGCTTGAGATTTTGTTGGGGTGAGGCTTGAACTCCTCGCCTCTAGCAAAGAGCATGTCAAACAGAAGACTGGGATCCGGCTGGTTGGGAGTTTGATAGGTGATTGCCGGAGCTGACCGAGCATATGCTGTGCCAGCAGCGCCCATAGCCGGGCTGTGGATGTTGTTGTTGGAGCCGTCGGCTGCACGATACTTGAACTTCTCGTCCAGAGTCGTCATAGGCGGATGGTCGATACCATTCCAAAGCTGGTTGATCAAGCCATACTCGAGCTTCTTGCCCTTGACAGTGCCACGAGGCAACTTGGCAAAAAGCTGGATGAGATGCTCCAAGAGCAACTCATTGTCGTCGATCTTGCCTTGCACAGCAGTGATGCCGAACTCGGCCAAGGTCTCAAAGTCCTGGAAGCCGAGCTTCTTAATATCCTGCAGAAGATTTGTTGGTTCAGCCTGCTGCGCAGCGGTACCTGGAACTGGCTCAGGGTGTGGTGGGACTGCGGAAATGGACTTGTGAACGAGGTTGCGAGCAGCCGCCAGCTTCTCCGACACCTCCGTGAGGAGAGGCTGGTGCTTGGGGAATTGCTCCTGAGCTTGAGACATGCTGGCGGATAGTCCAGTTGACTGCAAGTTGAAGAAGAGAGAGAAGAGGTGATTTGGAGGGGAAAGGAAGGTATCGTTCACACAGGCAGGGTCGGATCTGGGGCGGACGGGTTCCTTCATATATGTAGTATGTGACCATTTCTTCTTGCCCCATGGAATTGACAGCGGACAACATTGTCCGAAGGAAGCATATATGGAATTACAGATACCCCCTCCATGACGAGGCGCAGAGGAATCGGATGAGCCAGTAGACACTGTGCTACATGGTGTTGAGGATCAGGCTGGGATACTTCCTCTCGTTTAGTCCCCTCGTTGGCGCTGAGGTCAGCTCTCGAAGCTCCACAAGGCCGTCATGGGTTTGCACTAGGCAATAGCGCGAGACGATGAAGCAAATGTCTTCGTAGGCTTCCTGCTACTAGTTTTGTCGTCTTGTAGGGCTTCGCTCCCGAGGTACTATGGAGGTACGCCAATCATTGACCAGGCTTGCCCTGATGAAGAAGTCGACGGTGATGAAGAAATGCGT